CCCCCCTTCCCACCTTTCGAATGCGACCCTACTGTCCCCATGCCCCTTTGCAGCCCTCTCTCCCCGCCGTCTGTCTGTGGAATATGGATGGGGCATCGCTGGATTCGGAGAGCGTCACCCCACGCCGTCTGGCTCGTACGCCCTCCTCTCCCCGCCTTGTTTGTAAGCGTCACCTTTCCCTCATCCCCTCCCATCTCCATCCGAGCCCACCTCTTCCCCTCGCCCCTCCCTTCCCCACACCTCCAATCCCTCCTCTCACCTTCTCTCTCCGTTCCGCCGCAACCACTCATAGCCTACCATCCCCTACGCCCCGTCTTCTCCTCTCAGCCGCTCCACGCAAGCCGCCCCTCCGCCTCTCCATCATGCCGCTGCTACAGTCACCGTTTCGTCTTACGACGTCTCTTCTGGCGCCGTTGCGCCTGCTCCCTTACCTCCATCCACGGCAGCAGAAGGACTTTCCCACTCCGTCTCTGCTCCCTGCTTCTCCATGGAGCCCCGTAATTGGCTGGAATACTCAGGACGGGCCTCCACGGATCTCCTAGGCTCGTAGACCCGTGCCATGGATTCCGAACCTGCAGGCGATGCTCGGTCGTCCCTGGCCTTGCTGGCGTCGAATCTGGTCCCTCCATTGCAGCTTCGGCGGCGACAGGACGTTTTTGCCAAGTAATTTTAGTAGGGTTGGGGGATGAGATCGACGGATGGTGTGTGAGAGGGTTCGTTCTTTTTTGGAAGAGGTAGTTGCTGGTTGGAAGAGGTAGTTGCAGGTTCGGAGGGGAAGATGCAGGTGGAGAGGTGTAAAGTTGGGAACATTTTCTGGATGATTTGAGGGCGGCAGTTTTCAGGTTTAGGGATAGGGTTGGGTGAGGCAGGAAGGCGAAGACCTAGAGAAGCTTCCTTTGTCATTCTTCCTCGTCCAGCTGCTGCTGCTTCTGCTGCTGGACCTGCTGGTAGCGCTGATGGCGGTGCGTGCTGGAGCTGGCTTCACCACGGACACGGAGTGGGGCTGCAGATGAGGGTATATCACCAGTTCACTCTTCCATTCCCCCCTTCCCCTCCTCCTCCTCATCTCGCTATCACAGGCTCGACTCTCCTCCCAACCCAGGCGAGTAGCGATCTGGCGAGCCAAACCATACGAAACAAAAACCAGAGGACAGCAATGAGCCATCCCGCGCTGGTCCTGCTGGGGCTGGTTGTGACGGGTGCCCTGGTGCTGTCTGTGCGTCATGCTGCCTTAGTGATCGCCTCCCACGGCGGCCAGAGCAGCACGAGTGGTCAAAGTGAAGGTGAGGCTAATAGTGGCACTGGTGGTGCTGCTGGTGGTACTAGCAGGTGCTGGGTGGATGCTGTGCTGCCTCATTGATCCTCTCTCATGGCTGCCTGAGCGGCACAAGTGGTCAAAGTATGGTTGTGAGGGAAAATGAGGCACTGGTGCTGATAGTGGTGCTGGGCTTAATGTTGCTGGGGGTGGGGTTGGTGCCAGCAGGTGCTGTGGTGGTGGGTATGGGGCCCGTTGCCTCGTTGATCCTCACCCGTGGGTACCAGGCCACAAGTGGTCAAAGTGCGGTGAGGGAATATGAGGCGCCAGGTGCCACTAGTGGCGCTAGTATGATGTTCATAGGTTTCGCCGGGGGTGGTTCTAGCTGGTGCTATGGCCGTGGGTGTGCCTTGTCCTGCCTCATTGATACTCTCCCATGGAGGCCAGACCTCGAGTGTTCACAGTGCAGGTGAGAAAGTACGAGGCAGTGGTGCTGAGGGTGGCGCTGGTGGCGCTAGCGGTGGTGCTAGCTGGTGCTGTGGCTGCGGGTGTGCGTCATTGATACGCTCCCAATTCAGCCTGACCTGAGCAGCGCGGCACGGTGGGCGAAGTGCAGGTAAGGGGAAGTGAGTGTACACTCAGGCAGTGGTGCTAATAGCGATGCTAACTGTGGTCAAAGGTGGGTGCAATGGGGGCCACAGCCACCCCTCTGGTGCTGATATACCCTCATCTGCAGCCACAGCCACCCCTCTGGTGCTAATAGCGATGCTAACTGTGGTCAAAGGTCGTGCTGGTGTCCCACCCCTCTGTCCGCAGCCACAGTCTTGAATGTACTACCCTCGTCCGTAACAATACCAGCCACTTCAAACCCCACATTCTTGAAATGGTCCATGCCTAAGTTGAATGCAACGCTTTCTAGCCTAGGGGATGAAGGATCATGGACATACTTCTTCGTATTTTCGACATGCACAATTTTCCTACTCTCGGGATGCAGAAAAGACACACAGCACCACTCCGCCTCTCGAGCTTGGCTAAATCTACCATCTACGCTAATATATCCCACCCCACCAGCCCTCTTAGACAAGCTATCACGCACTACTTCCATAGAAACCTGGGCTGCACGAATGATAGCCTTCCACAAACCCTTTTCACCCTGCAACAGTCGGTAAAATGCCGTTTTTCCAGGAGTTGGCATTCCGAGGTTGCGACACACTTCCCACATCACTTGAAACCCTAACCCTCCGAGGGCAAACGCACCCACAAACTTTGGCATCAGCTGTATAGACCTTGGTCCGGTCCGCTTCCCATTAGGGGGGTTTTCCTTCTTCGGGCTTGTCCATATCTCCGTGCGGGTAGGGCATGTACTACAGTGCCAATACAGTCCTAGTGAAGCCCATGTAGTTTTCCATGACACGAGGGACATGCTCCCGCCGCAGGCTTTTCTTGTGCAACTGATACGAAGTGGTGCTAATGCTTCTAGCATGTATCTTGGCTCCAAGAAACATACCATGTACGGTGACATGTACTTGACGGCTGGAGCACGTGGCCACCCTCTCGGGACTGGAACTGGAGTATCCTTGAGGGGCCCATCCTGATGAGTATTCCTGGAGGGCCCATAGGCAGGGCGCAATGGGAGGGCACACTCCAGGTCGCAATGGGATGGCACAAGGCATGGCGCAATGGGAGGGCACAGGGCAGGGCGCAATGGGAGGGCACAAGGCAAGGCGCAATGGGAGGGCACAAGGCATGGCGCAATGGGAGGGCACAAGGCAGGGCGCAATGGGAGGGCACAAGGCAGGGCGCAATGGGAGAGCACAAGGCAGGGCGCAATGGGAGGGCACAATCCAGGTCGCAATGGGAGAGCACAAGGCAGGGCGCAATGGCACGTGGCAAGGGTGCGTGTGACTGCATGGTGCCAAAGGTGCGTGTGACTGCATGGTGCCAAAGGTGCGTGTGACTGCATGGTGCCAAATGTGCGTGTGACTGCATGGTGCGCCAAAGGTGCGTGCGCATGTGACTACATGGTGCCAAAGGTGCGTGCGCATGGGGCTGCATGGTGCCAAAGGTGCGTGCATGTGTCTGTATTCTTATGAGCTCATGCACACGTGCGGGCATGAGTGGGTGTGTGAGGGCTCGTGGATGCTCGAATGTCTTCACTTTCCACCTATTCATTCAATACCACCCCTAGTTTTACACCTCATTCAACCAACCCCATCTACGCACTGTCTCACCTTTGGGCTTGATCTGGTACGCCAGCTGCATGGAGTACCGCGTGCTGTTGGCTGCTTTCAGTGCTAACAATCGTACAATGAGGCTGCAGGCTTGGAGCAACCCCCTCTGTTTCAGCTCCTGTTGATTGGGCAACATCTGCACATACGCCATGTATCAGAATCATTAGGGTATACACGCACTTGCATTCAGACTCTAGTTCAGTTTCGCTTCATAAACAGTACAGCCTTCACAAACCCTCCGTCTGAAGCATGCTGCATGGTTGTATGGCCAACATAGCATAGTCTTGTGCCAACGCCACGATGTTGCTCACCTTGTCCACGCACGCTCTCGAAGGCTTTACCCCTTCGGGCCCCACCCCAACCGTTTCCACGAACAGGGCGTATTTTCCCCTTCTTATCCTCTTTGTAGGGCGGGAAGTTGTAAACCAGACCCTCGATTGGGCAATCTGCCTTCTCCACTATCCCAGTTACGGCGTTAATACCACTGTTTGCCCGTGCATCGAACTGGCGCCCGTATGCCTCAAGGTGAAGCTCTGCCGTCGCCAATGCATCTCCCCCATGTGTTCCTGCCACGGAACAACGGTGACACCAAGTACACCCCATCCATTATTGTGTGGCTGCTTGTGCCGTTGTGATGCGCAAAACAATCAGATTGCTCAACTATCACGGACACACGACCATGCTATGACTTGATCACCAACTTTCCACCCTTACCTGCTTCTTTGGCAGCCCGCATCAGCCGTTTGTACGCTGTAGGGGCGTTCATCATGAAGTAGTAAAGAACATCAGCAGTTGTCGCCTCGGTCTTCCCCCCCATCAATGCCGACAACCCGCATCGTTGAAGGCATATGACTGGCCTCATATGCTTGGATATGCCGTGAACCGCCTTGTCATGCTCGTCGCTAAGATTCGCTACAGTGGACCCTCCACTTGCTCTTGCATCCGTCTGCCTCCCACGCCTGAAGGTTGGGTTTGGAAATGGTGTATAGATTTGCACGGTTTGGAATCGATGGCTGGATATGCGTTACAAGGGAGACCCCAACAGCCAAATACAATGACGGACAACTTGTATGTCCTGCGCGACAATGCTGGGCGTGCGCGCAGATTCAGTAGCATTTGAATGAGGAAAGATGGACGAGATTGACGGTGGACACCAAAACAGATGATGAGCCCCGACGGGGAATAATAAGTGGGGGAAACGAGCCCACTGTGTTGCCTCTCCCACCTTCCCCTCTGCAGGTTCACATCCCCTCATTTTCGTACAACCCATCCTGCAGCACCTTCCCCCCGCATCACCCGTGTGAGGTGATGCGAGCGCATTTCAACCGCCATAATCATGGTGCTGGTGAGTGGGTGGTATACATGGTGCTGGTGAGTGGGTGGTGTTGATGGTGCTGGTGAGTGGGTGGTGTTGATGGTGTGGTGAATGGGTGGTGTTGATGGTGCTGGTGAGAATGAGGCGCAGATGGGAGGGCGAACCTAGGATGAAATGGGTCGCTGCAAGATAGGAGGGCATGCACAGTCGGAAAGGTGGTGTGGCCCTAGTGGTGTGGGAAAATCGGACCAGGGGAAGTGGGGCATTGGATGGGGGGAAGTGGGGGATTGGATGGGGGGACGTGGGGGATTGGACGGGGGGGAGTGGGGCATTGGATGGGGGGAAGTGGGGGATTGGATCAGGGGAAGTGGGGGATTGGATGGGGGGAAGTGGGGGATTGGATCGGGGGAAGTGGGGGATTGGATCGGGGGAAGTGGGGGATTGGATCGGGGGAAGTGGGGGATTGGATCGGGGGAAGTGGGGGATTGGATCGGGGGAAGTGGGGGATTGGATCGGGGGTAGTGGGGGATTGGACGGGCAGGTGTGGTGGAAAGGAAAGGGTAGTGCGGGGAAGGACGAGGTGGAGGGGGGGAAAGGGAGGGTAGGACTGGGGGACAGGGAGGGTGTTTGTAGGGGAAATAGAGATCGCAGGGTGTAGAAGGGGGTGAGCAAGTGTGGAAAAGAGTGAGCCGTGTGTTGAAGGGGGTGAGGAAAGGGGGAAAGAGAATGACCAGGGTGGTGAAGGGGGTGAGGAAAGGGGGAAAGAGAATGACCAGGGTGGTGAAGGGGGTGAGGAAAGGGGGAAAGAGAATGACCAGGGTGGTGAAGGGGGTGAGGAAAGGGGGAAAGAGAATGACCAGAGAGGTGAAGGGGGTGAGGAAAGGGGGAAAGAGAATGACCAGGGTGGTGAAGGGGGTGAGGAATGGGGGAAAGAGAATGACCAGGGTGGTGAAGGGGGTGAGGAAAGGGGGAAAGAGAATGACCAGGGTGGTGAAGGGGGTGAGGAAAGGGGGAAAGAGAATGACCAGGGTGGTGAAGGGGGTGAGGAAAGGGGGAAAGAGAATGACCAGGGTGGTGAAGGGGGTGAGGAATGGGGGAAAGAGAATGACCAGGGTGGTGAAGGGGGTGAGGAAAGGGGGAAAGAGAATGACCAGGGTGGTGAAGGGGGTGAGGAAAGGGGGAAAGAGAATGACCAGGGTGGTGAAGGGGGTGAGGAAAGGGGGAAAGAGAATGACCAGGGTGGTGAAGGGGGTGAGGAATGGGGGAAAGAGAGTGCGCAGGGTGTAGAAAGGGGTGAGCAGGGTGTAGAAAGGGGAGAAGAGAATGACCAGGGTGGTGAAGGGGGTGAGGAAAGGGGGAAAGAGAATGACCAGGGGGAAGTGGAGGCGACGGGAGGGGGAAGTGGAGGCGACGTGAGGGGGAAGTGGAGGCGACGGGAGGGGGAAGTGATGGCGACAGTAGGGGGAAGTGGAGGCGACGTGAGGGGGAAGTGATGGCGACAGTAGGGGGAAGTGATGGCGAAGGTGGGTGCATGGGAGATGGTCAAGAGGCGTCGATATTTATTGGGCGAAAGTGAGGTTTCCCACGTAGTGCCATATGACGTTATCCGCGCTGGCATTCAGTGTTTGATATTTCGCCGCATTCCGATGCTTTCAGTTTCGCGCCGACGTTCGTGCCGTGTCCAGGGTTTTTTCGTACCTTCGAGAAGCATCCTTTCCAGGGCGACGGGCCATATTCCCTATCTCGCCGTCTCGAATGAAGTGGTTCTGTTTGTTGATGACGGTCGTGTGACGTTTTTTATCTCAACTGCAACCTTTATGGTTGTCGTAATGCTAAGGGTTTGGTAGTTTTATCATCCGCGACGCAAGTGTGCTTGCTCGTGCCGCCTACTATAGTTGGCTGCTGTATGCAGTATCAAGCACTAGCGGGCCTCATGGTTGGTTGTCGAAAGCCTAGGTCATGGTGTTGTGTGTGTGGCAGCGCAAGAGCTGCGAAAGTGTTGTGTTGTGTGATTTTTGGTCGCGGTGTGTGGTGCGCCGTGCGACAATTTCTATTGGCTGGTTTTCTGTTGTTAGACTCGGCTGTTCGCTAAAAAATTCGCGATTTCGCTTACTGGGTGTGCCTTCTTTCGGCTCCCAACTTTCCCTTTCACACCCCTCGCCACCCGTTTTTCCCCTGGGCCAAGTTTTAAAAACTTGTGCAATTTGGGCCAACGGCTTTAAGGCAAGGAATTGGGAAATTCCTAACATCAGGGACTCCAGAGCGGTTTGTTCTCTTACAGCCCGCGTCCCAAATTGCGGGCCGCGAGGGTCAAGTTTTTAAAACTTGACGAAGTTGAGTGTCCAAGTTTTTGAAAGTCACGCACTTGCAATTTGGGACTTCCGAAGACAGATTCACTCACCAGGGGGAAAACCGAGGGTTGGCTGGGTCTCGCGAAAAGAACGAACCTAGACGAAATCGGAAACTCTCGCCAAAGCCCACAACAGAAAAACTCCCTCTGGTCAACTTTTAAAAGCATGAACAATTTGGGCCGCCGGCTTTACTGCTACTCAACAGTCCGAACATTGAACTGTCCTAAGCATGATCTGCTGACGTTGGCAAATCACAGGTCCATACACCACACACAAACTTGCTGGGATGTTTTGTTTTTCTCACCTGCCCGGTATGGTCATGTGCACGAGGCGTGATGCGGTGCCCACGACCTCGTGGTTGTGGTTGGTTGGCGGTGTGTTCAATATTTTCTACGTCACTGTCGGCGTTGAATTCCGTTGCTTCCTTTACAAACCTTCTCACCGACACACGCGATGAACACGCGAGAAGCACTTGCTACCTCAACATACGTGACTCAAATGGACAGTTTCTCATTCTGGCTCTCCACGTTGGCAACCAGGTGGACCATGAAATACACTTGCACTGTAATGCAGAACTTGCCCATCGAAACCGCGCTGGACATCCATTTCCCGCCCCATCGTAGCGCAGGCTTTTTGCTCCTGCCCGAGAACCACACACCGCGCGGCGTTGGTGGTCCCTGAAGTTCGGCACGCAAGATTCACCGCTTATCACAACTACTGTACCCTTGGTTTGAAGACCCGTGGCTTGGGATCCCTGAATATTTGCCGTTCCAAACCAGCCCAATAGGTTTGGTTGCCCTCTCATCTCGAAAAGCAAGAATTACTCAACTAAACGCTTCGCAAAAGCAAAGGCGAACAACCCTATCGCTCTGCTCTGGTTTCCAATTCCCTCATTTTAGATACAACCAGTACCAACACCTCCTGAACCCGGACTCCCGATTCAACCTACTAAAAGAAAGCGGGTACTCCCCTACACCACCACCGCCAGCGCAACTCAAGAAATCTCCCCGCTGCTTCTTCCCTAAAACCATGCGCTTCCCGAACCCTCTCCCCCGTCGACGCTGCTTTCGCCAGCCACAGCGCGCTTCCTTTCCCTTCAAACAAGCGGAAACATGGATTCCGACCAATCGCGCACACCCAGTCTTCACGTACAAGACTTCAACATGCGCCTTTGCCTCGTTTCGTCCGCCACGCCCCCCATCCTCTCCCCGCTAACGCGCCCCCGCTGGTGCTGCCATGCGTAACCGCGCTGCCGCTGTCAGAACTGTACTGTACTGTAATGCTGCTGCTGTCACTGCTGCTGCCTGCTCGGATAAAAACGTTCCCCTTTCAGCATCATCAATCTGATTCCATCTTCCACTCCGTCTTTACTGACGCCTCTTTTCACGTTCACCATCCACCCTCTCCCCAGCCAAATCTGCTCTGCGCGGCTTTCACAGTCCCGTAAGGTACTCGCCAGCAGTGCCGCGTCTCATCACTCACCTTTCCGCTTACTCCGTGTTTCGTCTCCAGCTCCTTGCTTCCCTCGCACGCGCCGAACGCTTGAAAGTTCAAGTCACGCCATCTTCCCCCCCGCCAACGCCCGGAAGGCCAGCATAATAATTTACTCAACCGTCATTGGCCGCATTCCACGCCGCGATTCTTCCACGTTGCTGCCTTTCAATTCCCGAAGAAACCAGAAGTTATAAGCTACCAAACCGACAATAAGGTGAGCTCCTAGTAAATCGAGTTTATTCGGCGTATGCTCTACAATAGTTCGAGCAGGAAGCTCTTGCGCTTTCATAAAATCAATCCGAACCGCATTGCCGTTTCTCACTCTTGAATTTTACCCCTTCCGCGCGCCGCATTCTCGCCATCAAGGCTGTCATCTGCCTCGCACTCGCAAAAACTTTATGCGTTTTGCGAAAACAGCTTTCCGTTCTGCGCTTTCGCCTTCCTCGTTTGCAAAACGTCACATTCGCAACAGAACCGCCGGCTTGGGAGATGTCAATCGCGAAGATGTTTTCTCTGCGGCGAAGCGATCGACTGGACCCTCGCAGCGCGACGGCATTCGCCCGCGTCCTCTTTATAAGCCTGCTTGCTCTTACTCTATCGGGGGCGGCGGCGGCGGGCGCAGCAGCAGCCGGTTGCGAGGCGTCGACCCTGTCGGGTTACCAGCATATGCGAGACCTCACGGGGCAAGGGTAAGTTGCCGCACCCGGCATAACATAGTGCACACATCTACTTCAATATACGCATCGTAATGAGGCTCCGACAGACTCCGTATCGGCGTGAATTGGAACGGCCACTTATCGTTCCCTGCTCTCGGTATAAAGCCACTCCAATATCGATACATGAAGATAAATCTTAATATGCATGGTATTGTAATGTGTGTGTTTTACCTTTTGCAGAGTAAGAAGAAGAAAATAAAAACATTTACTCCCGTTCCCCCTTCCCTCCGAATCGCGACATCCAGGTTCATTCTCCACTGGTCGCTCGCGACTCCCAGCCGACTCGACATCGCGGTCGAGGCGAAGCCGGGGAGCGGCGCGGAGAACGGATGGATCTCCGTGGGGTGGTCCGCGAACGGGAAAATGGCTCCCGCGGACGCCGTCATTGGTAACCTGCCGGGCGTCGCGGTCGGCGCGTACGACATCAGCGGATACGACGGAACGACCGTTGTCGCTTCGACGACCTTCAAGATCTCCGGAGGGCTGCTGAGCAGCGCCAACGGACGCAGCACGATCATCAAGTGAGTTATTAAAAGTTTTTAGTCGGTTCAAAAGCCACTGGATACGGCGGGACAACCATTGTGTCTTCGACGAGCTTTAAGATCTCCGGGGGACTGCTGAGCAGCGCGAATGGCCGCAGCACGATTTTCAAGTGCGTGGTTTAATCCCGGTTTTCCTAAAGACCGAATGGCCGTGCTCGACTGAAAGCTCCTGTACCTATTTCGTCTATTGTCTCGCTGCCGCCTCTTCCCCTTCGCTTCCTGGCCTTGTCCGCATGTTTCCCGCCTCTTTCCCGCCTCTCTTCCGCCCCTAACGTGTTTCCCACCCCAGATCTAGGGTGAGTCGACTTCTACCACTCTCAACCATCTTCAGCCGCTGTGGCGCTGTCCCCTATCCGATGAGCTCTTGCTCTCGCTTCAACCGTGGAGGCAACTCCAGCTCCTGCTCTCTCTCCTCCCATGTTTCTCTTTCCCAGGTTCTCTCGATCCCAGGGCAGCGGCGGCTGCTCCCCGCTCGTCCTCCCGGGTACCGCCACCAACATGATCATCTGGGGATACCCCGGTGCTGGCAGCAAGGCTCTAAGCTGATGTTGTTCTTCCCTCCTGTTTTTCTCTATCTCCCACCCCCAGGTTCTCGCGCTCCCAGGGCGACGGAGGGAGCGCCCCGCTCGTCCTCACAGGTCCAGCCACCAACACCATCATCTGGGGCTACTCCGCTGCTGCCAGCAAGGCTCTGGACTACCATGGCACCTTCCAAGGCTCGGCTAAGATCAGCTTCAACTGCGGCGGCGGCAACTCCACCGCCACCACCCCTGTCCCTACTCCGGCAACACCCACTCCTGCTCCTGGTAGCACTGGTGCTGGTGGCGCTGGTGGCAGCACCAGCGGCGGCACTAGCAGCGGCAGCGGCAGTGGTAGTAGCAGCAGTGGCGCGGCTAATTTGCCGGCGTGTGATGCGTCCACGCTGGCAGGATACGAGCATTCCAAGGACCTCACGGGGAAAGGGTGAGTTGAATGCTGTTCAATGTTTTCAATGCTGGTCAGTGCTGTGATGCGTCCACGTTGACAGGATACGAGCATTCCAAGGACCTCACGGGGAAAGGGTGAGTCAACGCCGGTCAACGTGGTCAATGCTGGTCAACAGCCACTTATCATTATATGATTCTTTACATCAACTCATAATTTATTTACTTCATTTACTTTTTATTCCCCTCTCCTCAGGTTCCTCCTCCACTGGACGCTCACCCCTGCCGGCCAGCTGGACATGGCACTAGAAGCCAAACCGGCCAGTGGCGCCAACAAGGGGTGGATTTCGCTGGGTTGGTCGGCGGCCGGCAAGATGTACCCTGCAGATACGGTCATTGGGAATCTCCCGGATGGGTCCGTGGGCGCGTATGACATGAGCGGTTACGACGCGTCTGCTGTGCTTCCGTCGACCAACTTCAAGATCAGCAAGGCATCGACGGTCGCTGCCAACGGCGGCAGCACCATAATCAAGTGAGTCCGGTTACCCAGTGAGTTATCACAGGTAGTTTGAGGTGTTACAGATACAGTCATCGGGAATCTCCCGGATGGGTCCGTGGGCGTGTATGACATGAGAAGTTACGATGCGTCTGCTGTGCTTCCGTCAACCAACTTCAAGATCAGCGAGGCGTCTATGCTTCTATGCTTCAACTTCTATGCTCACAGCCAATGGCGGCAGCACCGTTATCAAGTGAGTTCCATTTGATGTTTACGCGGGCTTGTGTGTCGGTTGCACAAGGGACGTTGTTCTGTTCTGTGTGTGTTTGTTCTTGTTTTACTGTCAGGCGCAGCCACCAACACCATCACCTGGGGCTACTCGGCCACCAGCCAGCAGCATGGCTCTGACCTCACCCTGCTCTCGCGCCCTCTCCCTCTCTCCCTCACTCTCCTCCTCTGTTCCCAGCGCAGGTTCTCGCGCTCCAAGGGCGACGGAGGCATCTCCCCGCTCGTCCTCACAGGTCCAGCCACCAACACCATCATCTGGGGCTACTCCGCTGATGACAGCAAGGCTCTGGACTACCACGGCACCTTCCGTGGCTCCGCTAAGATCAGCTTCAACTGCAACAGCAACGCCGGTGCTGGTGCCGGCGCTGGTGCGGGTGCGGGTGCGGGTGCGGGTGCGGGTGCTGGTAATAACGGCACAAGCACAGGCGGTAGCAGCAGCAGCAGCAGCAGTGGTAGCACTAGCAGTGGGAGCGGGAGCAGCAGTGCAGCTAGTGCGAGCTCTAGCAGCAGCGGGAAGGGGAGTGGTTGCACGCCGTCCACCATCCCTGGCCTTGAGTGCTCCACCAAGCTCAGTGGCGACAGGTGAGCATCATTCCCTCTCTCCCCCTGTATTCGCTACACAATGACCCACGCTGTTCCCTTAACCACCGGTACGCCGTCGACCATCCCTGGCCTTGAGTGTTCCACCAAGCTCAGTGGCGACAGGTGGGCATCATTCCCTTGCCCACGATTATCCCTACACCATTTTCCAAACCGTATTCTTTACCACTGGGTGGGCGTACGAGATGTGCAATGGTGACAACCACTGTGTGGGTGTCTCTCTCACTCACTCTCTCACTCACTCACTCACTCACTCTCTCCCTCTCTCCCTCTCTCCTTCCCTCCATTCTCTCCGCTCTCCCACCAGTTTCATTCTCCACTGGAAGGCCAACGCCTCGACCATCAGCTTCGCCTGCGAGGTGGCAACCACCGGGTGGGTCTCCCTGGGGTGGAGCGCAGACGGCAAGATGTACCCCGCTGACGCTGTCGTCGGCACCGGCAGCGGTAACGGCGCTTCAGTTGCGCCTCATTCCATTTCCAGCTACACCAGTGTGACGCCGAGCTCAGCCTTTGCAATCTCAGCTACGGCGGTTGAGTCGGGGGCAAAAGGGAAGACGGTGGTCAAGTTTACCCGACAGCTGTCGGTTGGGTCGTTCCCTATCAATGCGAACGGTGTGACTAAGGTCATCTGGGCTTACTCGGCTGATGGCTCGCAGTCTCTCGCCAACCATATGACCAACAGGTGAGCTGCTTCACCCACCCTTTCCCCCCTCCCTCTTCCCCCTCTTCCCCTCCTCCCCTCTCCTCTCCCCCCCCCCTTTTCCCCCACCCCTCCTTTTTGGTTTCTCTCATAAAAGGTTCTGTGGATGCTCCTTAACTCTCTCCTTCTCATGCTGCTCGTTGCTCACTATCCCTCCTCCTTCCCTCCCCTGTTCCCGCGCTCCCTCCATTTCAATTACAATTGTTTCTGTAGAGGCTCTGCGTCCATCGATTTCATCTCTGGAAGCACAACGGTTTCGTCCACTGCACCGCCCTCAACCACTCTCTTAGTCGTCCACGCATGGCTGCTCGGCATCGCGTTCGGCATCCTCATGCCAGCTGCTATTCTCATCTCGCGAATCTTCCTCGCCGATAAGCTCCAGGAGCGTCCGCCTGGTGTGGACCACGACAAGTGGGAGGCGCAGGTTGCGCGCGCGAAATCCTGGAAGCCACTTGCGTTTGAGACGCACAAGTGGATGCAGATCACCGCGGTTGCGATCGCTATCGCGGGGTGTATTATCGTGTTTGTGCAATCCGGCTCGGTGGGGCTGCAGAGCTCCCACGGACAGCTAGGTCTCGCGATCTTTGTGCTGATTTTCGTGCAGCCTATGATTGGTCACTTCCGGCCGAACAAGGGTACAGTGAATCGGCCGACGTGGTTCGTCATCCACTGGGTGCTCGGCATTGGTATTGTCGGACTCGCGTGGCTCAACACTTTCCTCGGATTCGACATCATGCAGACAAAATACTCGTTCAACCTCCAGGTGCGTTTTTGCATACAGTAACCCCAACAGCCTCTGGTCTTGCTTCTCTCGTGAACTGCATGCTATGCTTGAAGAAGATGTCGCTTGTATTCTTGTGGTTGATGTGCCTCCCTCTTCCTCCTCACCAGTCTCCTCTTCGTCCTCACCAGTCTGTGTTCCTTGCAGAGTCAAATGCTTTACATTCCCCTCCTCATGTGTTCATGTCCTTTCGTTCATCACACGCTCATGTGCCTTCCGTTCCTCTCCTCACAATCTCATATTTTCTTTACCTGTGCACTTCTTCCCCTTCCGTTCCAACAAACAGTGGTGCTACATCATCTTTGGGGTCACAGTTGGCCTTCTGGGAGCCATCTACCTTGTCATTTACATCACGGATCAGGTTGTCGCACTCATTTCGATGATCCAAAAGGCAACAAACTCAAACGAGGAGAGGGATGCGGGGAAGCAACTGGTGATAAATCATGTACCAGTATAGATGTGCAACTTGCATTGTCTGGTTTGTTTTCTCTAGCATGGTTTTCTAGGTTGTATGTAACAGCCGTCCAAGCATTACGGATGCAGAAATGTGTATTGTCAGGATTGCTTTGCTAGTAGGGTTAGCTTGGCTTGGCTAAGTAACAATACGTATGCATTGCTTTCATTTTGGATTGTGCATCAAGCTAATGTCCAGTCTTTGTGTTGATACAGAATATAAAAGAGTGTATCAAGTGAGAATGACTATTTCAATAAATAAGGACAACAATAATTAGAAACGTCCTTGATTCCTCACCTCAGGCATTTGATTCCCCTCGATTCCATGACCAAACCGTTCACAACCTTCACACAAATGTTTTGGATTGCAACGCACCTTCATCAACCGAAGTGGTGAAGGTTCACAACCTTCACTGCGTCAGTGTCTGATATGCAGAGCAACGGATATCCATTGCAGCACGGCAACATATGACGGTTGTCACTGATGTGGTGAAGTTCCGAAAATCAGAGTGTCTTGAATCCACCACGGCCTTTCGCGGGCCTCCGCGCAGTTAGAAAAACACCACAACGCTTGGTCCTTTCTCTCGTTTCCAGGGTATTTTGGCGGCTTGGACGTATCTAAGTGGCATAGGCTCTGCTCCTTAGGTTCTCGCTATCATTGACGCCTAGATCCCTCGCCAGCTCGCTCGGTGAAACTCGTGGTTTGTTCGCCGTTAGCGAAGATGAATTCGTCACAGGCGGGTTACTTCGCGAAGCAGGGGCTGAGCATGCTGTACAATGCCACTGTAACGAGCGTGAGTGCGATTGCAACGGGGATAAACAAGGCGTACCAGACGTACACGGACTATTACGAGCGTGACCAGATCGAAGCTCTGAAGAAATCTGGCAAGCGACCAGCCGACAACCTCTATCTAGGTAATACCGTTGCACGCGACATGAGGGCGTGGTTAGTACAGGATCTTTCTGCTTGTGATATCCCAATAACGCATGCGCGTGTGTTGCTTGACAATATATGCAGCATGTTCATGGATTCATGCGAAACTTCATGATTCGTGAACGCATGATTCACGAGCCACGAGCCACAAATTAATTCAAGCATGGAAGCATGAACCGTTTGCAAAGATGAAATCATGGCTTCGTGAGTCCTTTGTTCCCTTATTCTCTTCTTTAATGTGGTCGCGAATCCCTGATGGTCATTGACATCAGGGTTCCATGGATTCACGATTTTCGTACCTGATTCAATCCTTCTGCGTGGCTGATTACAACAAACCCCTATGACAGTGCTGCAGCGCTTCCAGTATCTCTGCATGGCTGCCTACAAGAACGAGGAGAGGAACCATCTCGTCTATGTCCTTGTCTCGTGCGTTGTAAACACACACCCATCTCCCCCCTTGTCGCTCACCACCCACATCAGTGCTGCAGCGCTTTCAGTACCTCTGCATGGCTGGCTACAACAACGAGGTTGCTGCTGCCGCCCAGAAGGCAGCTGCCAAGCTGGTGAGAGGGCAATGGGCCTGTCAGGTGTGCCGGGGGGTTGTCAGGTGTGCAATGGATTTGTCAGGTGTGCCGGGAGGTTGTCCAATGTGCCTTGGGGTTTCCAGGTGTGCCTTGGGGTTGTCAGGTGTGCCTTTCTCACCTGGGTGCCGACATCAGTGTCACAGCGGTATGAGGAGCTTTTCTCTCAGAGCACTTTCTAACCCCACTCTTACTCCAACCAACCCTCTCGTGTCTCTTTCCATTATCTTTTCTCCCAGACGGCAGGAGAGAAGAGCTCAGTGGCTCATGAGACGCTGCTGCTGCTCACCCGCGTGCTGACGTCAGTGTCGCAGCGGTATGGCGAGCAGTCAGGGTACCCTCTTTCCCGCTCCCAATCTCAACCCCTTGTCTCGCCTCTCCTTATCCCAACCTTCACTCCAGACGGCAGGAGAGAAGAGCTCAGTGGCTCATGAGACGCTGCTGCTTCTCTGCCGCGTGCTGTCGTCAGTGTCGCAGCGGTACGGCGAGCAGTCGGGGCAGGGGTGGGGGCTGCAGGACTTTCTGAACTCGTCTCGCATGGGCAAGGACCACTTTGACCGCGACCAGCTCGTCATTGACTTCTACTTCGCCATCCTCTTCGTCCAGGACGTGAGTGGGTGGCAGGCAGGGCATGATGTGAGTGGGTAGCAGTAAGGCCATGATGTGAGTGGGTAGCAGTGAGGGCATGATGTGAGTGGGTAGCAGTGAGGCCATGATGTGAGTGGGTAGCAGTGAGGGCATGATGTGAGTGGGTAGCAGTGAGGCCATGATGTGAGTGGGTAGCAGTGAGGCCATGATGTGAGTGGGTAGCTAGCAGGGAAGGAGGGAGAGAGGGGATGACGACCAGCTCGTCATTGACTTGTACTTCGCCATCCTCTTCGTTCAGGACGTGAGTGCTCTGCCGTCCCCCCTTTCCCCCTCTCTCTAGTCTCTGCTCCCTGCTACCCACTCACCTTCGCATGCCACTCAGATGACGCTTGGCTCAGGTGGCTTACTAGGGAGGGATTGAGGGAATGTTTGAGTGAGTTAGTGAGTGAGTGAGGGCGCGAGTGAGTGAATGAGTGAGAAGTGAGTGAGGGAGTGAGAGGGGTGTGAGTGACCTGAGTGCCCTGCTCTGCTTTTCTCACATGAATGAGTCAACCGTAAGGTTGGTTGAAGCAGAAGTTCCTCGGTACGCTACTCTGCCTCTCTCACCATTGGCAACAGAGTTGCCTTCGCCCAACCCTCTTTCCCTCCACCCCTCTTCCGCCTTTTCGCCTGTTTCCCCAACTCAAAAAGAGTCGACTCAAAAATCGACTCACTACACATGTATCAGGTGTGTGGGGGACCCGGGCTGCAGTTTAAGCAAGCCATTCGCGAGGCGACAGGGAGGCTGGTGGAGGGGGACAAATACATGGGCGAGGGAGAATGATTCTCTTGAATTTACTAAAGTACCAGCGCCTCCTCCCAACCCCACCCCACTTTCCGTACCCAAACCCCCTTTTGGTTTATCAGGTGTGTGGGGGACCCGAGCCGCAGTTTGAGCAAGCCATTCGCGAGGTGACAGGGAGGCTGGTGGAGGGGGACAAATACGTGGGCGAGGGAGAATGATTCTCTTGAATTTACTAAAGCACCAGCGCCCCCTCCCAACCCCACCCCACTTTCCGTACCCAAACCCCCTTTTGGTTTATCAGGTGTGTGGGGGACCCGGGCCACAGTTTGAGCAGGCCATTCGTGAGGCAACAGGGAGGCTGGTGGAGGGGGATAAATACGTGGGTGAGGGAGGGGGGTTCTCTGGTGGCGGTGCTGCCTTCGGCAGTGCCTCCTCCTCCGTCCCCTCCTATGCTGCTGTACCATCCGCCAGCGCTCTACCCTCTGATCAAGACCCCAAGTGAGTCCGTGGGTTCACATGCTGTAAAGGAGTGACATGACAAGTACGTGGGCGAAAGAGGGGGGTTCTCTGGTGGCGGTGCAGCGTTCAGTGGTGCTTCCTCCTCCGTCCCCTCCTATGCTGCTGTACCATCCGCCAGCGCTCTACCCTCTGATCAAGACCCCAAGTGAGTCGCTACATTCCACTCCTTTTTATGTGTGAAAAACGAGAGGCAAGTATAAGGGCCAGGTATGAGGGCGTGCTTTTGAGAATTCTCAAAAACACCCTGCAGTATGAGGGTGTGCTTTTGAGAATTCTCAAAAACACCCTGAAGTATGAGGGCGTGCTTTTGAGAATTCTTAAAAACACCCTGCAGTATGAGGGCGTGCTTTTGAGAATTCTTAAAAACACCCTGCAGTATGAGGGCGTGCTTTTGATAATTCTCAAAAACACCCTGCAGTATAAGGGGGTGCTCTTGAGAATTCTCAAAAACACCCTGCAGTATGAGGGCGTGCTTTTGAGAATTCTCAAAAACACCCTGCAGTATGAGGGCGCGCTTTTGAGAATTCTCAAAAACACCCTGCAGTATGAGGGCGTGCTTTTGAGAATTCTCAAAAACACCCTGCAGTATGAGGGCGTGCTTTTGAGAATTCTCAAAAACACCCTGCAGTATGAGGGCGTGCTGACTCTTCTGGCGCTTTATTCGTTGCTGCCTTTAGGGCTGACTATTGCCTCCATCCATCCCGTCCTGTGCCTCTTTTCCGTCGGCCAGTTCTCTACCTACCTGCCGATCGAGACCCTAAGTGAGCTGCTTCTCTTTGTGTCATATGATGTGAGAGAGGTAAAAGCTGGACAAGTATGTGAGAGAGAGGTAAAAGCTGGACAAGTATGTGAGAGAGAGGTAAAAGCTGGACAAGTATGTGAGCAAAGAAAGCGATGGTGGTGGTGCAGGTGTAATTTCAGGCCGTCCGCAGGCAGAAGAGGAGGCAGACGGACGCAAGCAACGAAGGTGGTGCAGGTGCCCAATTGCCAGGAAGAAGGTGATGAAGGTGGTGTAGGTGCTATCGCAGGCCGTCCGCAGGCAGAAGAGGAGGCAGATGGGCATAAGCAGCGCACATTCAAAGAAGCAGAGGACATGTTGCGACAGCCATCTCATGCAATCACACATTTCCGCTCCCCCCCCCCCCTTCCCCCCTTTTCCCCCCCCTTCCCCCTTTTTTCCCCCCTCTTCCCCCCTCTTTCCCCCACACGCCATTTCACCCAACAATCCCCTTCCTCCTGCTGCTCCCTCTTTCTCCTCTGTGTCTCCCCCACCATCAGGAAGAAAGCGATGAAGGTGGTGCAAGTGCTATCTCAGGGCGTGCGCAAGGCAGCAGAGGATGCAGACGGGCGCAAGCAGCGGTCCCTCAAAGAAGCAGAGGACATGCTCCGACCGCCGTCTCATGCAATCACTTATACCCCTTGGCTTTCCCCTTTTCTCCCTACCCCCTCCTCCTCCTTCTCTCTGTTTCTCTTCTCTTTCTCTCCCCTGTTCCCGGCCCCACTCCCAATCGCCAGGAAGAAGGCGATGAAGGTGGTGCAGGTGTTATCTCAAGCCGTGCGAAAAGGATGCGGACGGGCGCAAGCAGCGCTCGCTCAAAGAAGCAGAGGACATGCTTCGATTGCCATCTCATGCAAGCACACATCCCTGTACTTTCCCCCTTTCCCCCTTCTCCTTCTCCTCCCTCTCCTCCTTCTGCTCTATGTTTCTCCTGTGTTTCTCCCCTCCTCCCCACCCATAACCCCCCAGGAAGAAAGCGATGAAGGTGGTACAGGTGCTGTCACAAGCTGTGCGCAAGGCAGCAGGTGATGCAGACGGCCGCAAGCAGCGGTCGCTCAAAGAAGCAGAGGACATGCTTCGACTGCCATCTCATGCCATCACTTATACCCTTGGCTTTTCCCTTTCCCCACTACCCTCTCCTCCTCTCTGTTTCTCTTCTCTTTATCTCCCCCGTCTTCCCCCCCTTTCACACTCCACTTGCCAGGAAGAAAGCGATGAAGGTGGTGCAGGTGTTATCTCAAGCCGTGCGAAAGGCAGCAGAGGATGCAGACGGGCGCAAGCAGCGCTCCCTCAAAGAAGCAGAGGACATGCTTCGACGCGAAAACGAAAAGGCAGCTGCGGCCGCCGGCGTGGCCTATGCCGGACCTCCCGCCAAGCCTCTCAGCAGCTTCGGCGGCGGAGCCTCGGCAGCAGCTCCGGTCGGCGGGTATGGTTCCGCGGGTGGTATGGCGGCGAAGCCGAGTAGTGTGTCGAATTGGAGTGGGGGGAGTGGGGCTGCTGCTGCTGCGCCCAGCCCTTGGGGTGGGGGAGGGGGGAGTGCGTTGGGGGGACCAGTAGGGGGAACGATGGGGGGAGGTGCAGGGGGGAGTGTGTGGGGAGGAGGGGGGAGTGCGAGTGTGGGAGGGGGAGGGGGTTTTGGAGGAGGTAGCGGTGGTGGTGGGGGGGGCTGGGGGGGGAGTGCGTCAACAGGAGGGGGAGGGGGAGCGTGGGGGGCAGGGGGAGGGCAGGCAGGGGGGAGTGCAGGGGGGTGGGGGGGAACGACAGGGGGAAGCACGACGGGAGGGAGTTCTGGGTGGGGTACCGGCACTGGTGGCAGCTTGATATAAGCGACTCAACAAAGGAGCAGCACAGTGTCATACATGGTGTCGATATGAGTGGCAATAGTGCACAGCAGCACACCTTGTGTCAATATGGGTGACAGCGTTGCACGACAGCATACTTCGCACCAATATGAGTGACAACGGAATTCCGCAGCACCTCGTGTCAATACGAGCGACATTTGAACTCAACATCACATCTGATCGAGTGTTTGATATGAAGTGGTAATCACAGCAACTTACCCTTAGCATCCCTAACAGGCAGGAGGGGCGGTTGGTTGGGGCATAGGCAGCAGCGGGTGATGGTGGCTGCTTTGATATGCTAATGTGAGTGATAATGAAAAACACAACAAATGGCAGTACAGTATAGCAGCACAGTTCCTGCTACGGAATTTTTAAATTTTGATGGGTGTCTCCTGTTGCCCTTGAAGGAGATGTGCAATTGAGGAAATGTAAAAAAACCGGGACACTGGTATGCTTCATGTTTTCAGAGTGTTTACAGTATGACTGCTATTATCGAGCACAGCATGGTATGACCATTACAGTGTAAGGGGGATAGCCCTCCACTGGGGGCACACTGAACTGACACAAGAGGCAGCATCATTATTATGCATTACTGCAATATGTCTCGACATATAACAAGGCACCCCCCTTTCTCCAATGCACCAACTAGTTTATAGCCTCTACACGTACCTCCAACAGGAGGGATTGTCGATGGAGGGAATTTCTGTACCTGGTCTTAGTCACCTCTCTCTCCTCCCCTCACACATGCCTAACTGATCTGTCTCGCTCGGCACTTGACAATCAGGTATGTAAGGTTGAGCTGCGTTGGTTGGCATGGTGGAAGGAAGAGTGAGTGGGAAGGCAGACAGACGCATACCCCTAGCTTCGACCTCTCACTCTTCCTTCCGCCGTGCCTCTTCGCTTCCCCTTCCGCCCGCCCCACTCTCCATTTTCGCTCATCTCGATTGCATTGATTCAAACCCCCTTGCTTTACTCTCCGTCTTCGCTCGTCCAGACTGCACCGATTCAACGCCCCCTTCTCTCCTCTCTCCATCCATCCCCGTCGCACTATCTCTGCTTCTTCTTCTTCCCTCCCCACTTCTGCTTCTGCATCCCTCTCCACCTCTCTACTGCTGCACCTACTGAGCTGCCCAATGCACTGCTTCCCATCATGCGCTCCCTATCTCTCCCCTTCACTCTCACCTTCACTCTCCCCTCCACTCTCCCCTTCACTCTCCCCTTCCGTCGTCCAGATTCTGCTGTTTCGTTCGTCCCTTCCTCCACCTCTGTTCCTGCTGCACCTGCTAAGTTGGCCAATGCACTTCTTCCATATTTCACTCGACTGCTGCTATCCCCCTCTCTCCTCCCTTCGCCTTCCCCTCATTCTCTCCCTGCTCCCCTTCAACACCCTCTCATGCTCTCCCCTTTACTCTCCCACATTCTGCTGCGACTTTTCTCTCCCACCTTCGCTCCTGCTGCATCTGATGAGCTGCCCACCCTTCACTTTTCCCCATTGCACTGCTTTACATTCCTCTCCTATCAAGCTCTCCCCTTCACTCTCCCTTCACTCTCCCCTTCACTAGTCCACATTCTGCTGCTTCTTCTGCCTCTCCTTCCACCTCTTCTCCTGCCGCAACTGCTGAACCGGGGACAGGTGTGCGTTATAAGGGGGAGCATTCACTCCCGTTACAAGCACACCCTGGGGAAGCAACACACCTCCTCCCCCACTTACACTCACACCAGGGTGAATCAATATTCCTGTTCCCCCCATAACCCCTGTTCCCCCCCTTCCCATTACATCTGCCCCCATTACCCTTGCCGCTGTCCCTCCCATTCCTTCCGCCCCCATTGCCCTTGCCCCTGTACCTCCCATTCTTTCTGCCCCCATAACCCCTGCGCCTGCCCCACCCAATACTCCTCCTCCCATCAATCCCCCTCCCATCACTCCTCCTCCCATCACTCCCCCTCCCATCACTCCCCCTCCCATCACTCCCCCTCCCATCACCCCCCCTCTCATTACTCCCCCTCCTGCCCCTCCCATTCCGCCTACCCCCATAACCCCCATTCGTCCCGCTCCTCCCCCTCCTCCTGCTCCCATCACCCCTGCTCCCATCCCTGCCATTCCCTGTGTCCCCATAACCCCTCCCATACCACCCCCCAAACCACCCCCCGTTACCCCACCCATAGAACCACCCATCACACCACTAGCACCCATCACACCACCACCACCCATCACACCACCACCACCCATCACACCACCACCACCCATCACACCACTAGCACCCATCACACCACCACCACCCATCACACCACCACCACCCATCAAACCACTAGCACCCATCGCACCACCACCACCCATCAAACCACTAGCACCCATCACACCACCACCACCCATCAAACCACTAGCACCCATCACACCACCACCACCCATCACACCAGAACCGCCCATCACACCAGCAGCAGCAACAGAAGCACCAGAGCCAGCAGTTGGAATGATACTTCTGCCTGTGGCGTTATAACCCATGGAGAGAGGAGTCGGGAGAGGAGGCAACCCTTTTGCGTAATGGGCAAGAGTAGCAGCAACAGCCGCAACAACCGCGGAAGCAGCAGCAGGAGCAGCAGCAGGAGAAGCAATAGGCGTAGCAGGATTAGCAGCAGAAGCAGCAGCAGCAGCAGCAGCAGCAGAAGCAGCAGCAGCAGCAGCAGAATGAGGAGCAACTGGCAGATAGGTGTTGCGTGCTGCTGCTGCAAATGCAACAGCAGGGGAAACCGCAGGAGCCAAAACAGCAGGGAATGAGGCGTGATTGGTCGAGCTTCCAGCCAATAGCATCGTGCCACCTGTCCCTGTGCCGCCCAGGTAAAAGGGAGCACCCCCGTTAATAACTCTCGAGTTTGCAGGTTGCTGCTGCTGATTTCGCTGCTGCTGCTGCTGCTGCTGTTGCTGCTGATTCTGCTGCTGAATTTGCTGTTGCTGCTGCTGCTGTTGGTCTGCCTGTGGTCGGTGCTGTGAAAACCTCTTTTGCCACTTCTCCCTCGAAACACCCCCCAAGCTCTCCCCCAAGTCCCCCTCTACACAATCCACAGAAACGTTCACCCCCCGGGCGGCGAGTTCTGTCCGTATCTGCCCCATGCGCAACTGTAGCTTCTGCAGCTGCGACTGTAGCTGTATACATTCTGTCTGATACTCCTGCAATTGCTGCAGCAGCTGGGAAGTCTGGATTTGATTCTGTATCCCATTCTCCTCATCTCCTTGACTCTGCACCTTCTTCCTTCGATTCCCGTTCGCAAGGGTTTTCTCCTGTGCAGACGCATGTGTTTTTATCTGCCCGTTTTTCTGCCCCTGTAATTGAGTGGTTGTAGCAGCAGCGGTCCCTCCCCACATCTCTTCTCCTGCACCTCCCCCCATCCCTTCCCCCATCGTTCCCCCCAATCTCTCCCCCATCGGTCCCCCCAATCTCTCCCCCATCACTCCCCCCAATCTCTCCCCCATCGGTCCCCCCATCCCTTCCCCCATAGTTCCCCCCAATGTCTCCCCCATCGGTCCTTCTCCCTGAAATTGGTTCAGTGGCACCTGAGAATTCGCCTGAATCTGCTGATTCACCTGGCTCTGTTGCCCCATCCGGTTCCCCACCTGAACCCCCACCTGCTGCTGCAACTCCCCTTCCCCCGCCATCTCCCCTCTGGTTACCCCCTCTCCTCCACCATCCCCTCCCCCATACCTCCCCTCCTCCTCCCCTTGCCCGTCCTCATCCCCCTCTTCCCCCTCTCCCCCCTCTTCCCCCCCTCCCCCCGCTTGCTCCCCCACCTCCCCTCCCCCTCCCCCATCATCTTCTGGCGAGTACAAAGTGTATAAAATCTTAACAGAGCAATTCGCCTCCCTTAAAACCTCTTCTAAGGAGAATCCAGCCATGAACAGTAGAGTAACGCCAAGTGACCTGAAAAATCTCCTGCCCACGTGGGTCAGCCCGGCAGCATCTGCCAGGTGGGCGGCGGAGCGAGCCAGGTTGGTGCGGCCCATGGGGTGGCGGGCGTAGCTGGTGCAGGTGGTATGTGGGGGCGTGTAGGGGGAAAAGGGGAGGGAAGAAAGTGGGGAAGGGGCATTTAGGAGCGAGCCAGGTTGGTTCGACCCATGGGGTGGCGGGCGTAGCTGGGGGGGGGGGGGGGGGGAGGAAGAGGAGGGGGGTAAGAGGAAGAGGAGGGGGGTAAGAGGAAGAGGAGGGAAGAGGGAAGAAGGGGGTATTCAGAATGACCAAATGAAAAAGGGGGTTTTTAGAATGACCAAATGGAGAAGGGGGTATTTAGAATGACCAAATGGTTCTTTCTGGTTGAGGCACCTCAATAAGGGGCATTTAGAATCGGGCTATTGATTGGTGCGCCTTGGCAGCATCTGCCAGGTGGGCGGCGGAGCGAGCCAGGTTGGTTCGGCCCATGGGGTGGCGGGCGTAGCTGGTGCAGGTGTTATGTGGGGGAGCTGGGAGGTTGGAGAGGGGGAGAAGGGGAGGGAAGAGCTGGGGAAAGGGGCATATAGGAGGGATTGGTCGTTAGGTCATGTCAGTTCGGACAGCTGACAGCATTGGCTAAAATCTAGATGAGGGATGGAGCGAGACACGCTAGTTTAGCCCATGGGGTGGCGGGCGCAGCTGGTGCAGGTGTTATGTGAGGGAGGGAGGAAACAGGGAGGGGGAGTGGTGGTGGTGGATGGGTGGGTGGGAAGAAGGCGGGGAAGGGAGGTGGAAAAGGGGAGATGGGGGGGAGAGGAAAAGTGGGGGGAAGGGGATTGGGCACATAGGTTGGGTGCATGAGCAACAGTGGAGTGGAGTGACGCCAAGGGACCTGAAAAATCTCCTGAAAAATCTCCTGCCCACATGAGTGAGCCCGGCTCACCTGTTCAGAGGCCCGAAAGAAGGCACGCGAGAAAACTTCGCCGACAGAAACAGGCTCGGCGCAGCTCCGGGCGGGCGCATCCGAGCCTCCTCGTCCAAAATCCGAACCGGGCACAGGATCGGGTTCTGCAGGTTCGGGAAGAACTGCTTCTGCACGAGGCTCGGCGCGAGGCTCGGCGGCGGCACAAACGCAACATGCTCGCCCGGAAACTGCGGCGACAGGTACTCCCCTCCCCGGTTCAAAACGACAAAATGGGAGAACTCAAGCTTGAGTAGGGAGTCCAAGCCGCCCCGGACGGCAAGAGTGGCGAAGACTATGAGCTTTCGCATGGTGTGGGCGATGGCGTTGGTTCGGGCGAGGGCTGGGCTTGCCATCATGTGACGAACGTCGGATAGACGGAGCGCGTGGGATGATGATGATGATCCGTGTTGTTTGCGCTTCCGCTTCCTGCTGCTGCTCGTTTCATGACTTGCTGCTGCTGCTGCTGCTGCTGAAATAACCTGCTCCCTGCTGCCACTAACAGTACCGGTCGCTACTGGTACTCGTGCTCGTGCTGCTCCTACTCCTGCTGCTGCTTCTTCCTCCTCTGCACGTCCCTCTTCCTCCTCCGCCTCTCGCTTCACATCCGTGCCTGTAGCCCCAACCTCTGCTGCTGAACTCATCTCGCCTTGCTCCCTGCTAGTATACACGGCCTCGCCTTGCTCTCTGCAGCCAAATTCAAGCCCGTCTTTCTCCATTCCCTCTGCATTAAAGGAACCTTCTTCTATGCTGCACTCATCCTCTGTCTCCTCATCATCTGTAGACTGTAGCAGCATATCGCCTCCCCCAGTAACGCCCTCCTTGGTAACACCCCAAGTGCTTCCCCTGGTGGCTCCCCCAGTGGCCCCTTCATTCGGAACTGATCCAGGTTCATCTATAGAAGGATCCGTTACAAGAGCATCTGTTACTGGAGCATCTGATACAAGAGCATCCAATATAAGAGCATCCGTGACAGGAGCATCCGTTACAAGAACATCCGTCATAGGAGCATCTGTTATAAGGGCATCCGGTACAGGAGCGCCTGCCAAGAGCACAGCTTCAGCAGCAACAGCAAAAGGCGTCTCAACAGCTTCAGCAGTCACAGCCTCTGCTTCCGCCATTGTCACTTGGTGTGACTCCTCCTCCTCAGCATTCCCCCCCATTATTGTCACCCGGTCTAATCGCCCCTCAGCTGCTTCAGCAGTCACAGCCTCTGCTTCCGCCATTGTCACTCGGTGTGACTCCTCCTCAGCATCTCCCCCCGTTATTGTCACCCGGTCTAACTCCGCCTCAGCTGGCTCACCAGTCACAGCCTCTGCTTCCGTTATTGTCACTTGGTGTAACTCCTCCTCAGCAGCAGCCCCCGCTATTGTCACTTCCCCTAACTCCGCCTCCTCGGCTGTAGCCGCCCTTCCAGCCTCCTCCTCCACATTTGTAGCCGCCTTCCCAGCCTCCTCGTCCACGGCTGTAGCCGCCTTCCCAGCCTCCTTCTCTACGGCTGTAGCCGCCTTCCCAGCCTCTTCCTCCACATTTGTAGTCGCCTTCCCAGCCTCTTCCTCCACATCTGTAGTCGCCTTCCCAGCCTCCTCCTCCACATCTGTAGTCGCCTTCCCAGCCTCTTCCTCCACATTTGTAGTCGCCTTCCCAGCCTCCTCCTCCACATTTGTAGTCGCCTTCCCAGCCTCCTCGTCCACGGCTGTAGCCAGCTTCCCAGCCTCCTTCTCTACGGCTGTAGCCGCCTTCCCAGCCTCTTCCTCCACATTTGTAGCCGCCTTCCCAGCCTCCTCGTCCAAAACTGTAGCCGCCTTCCCCACGTCTACGTCTGTAGCCGCCTTTTCTGCCTCCTCGTCCACAAGTGTAGCCGCCTTCCCCACGTCTACGGCTGTAGCGGCCTTTTCTGCCTCCTCGTCCGCAAGTGTAGCCGCCTTCCCCATGTCTACGGATGTAGCGGCCTTTTCCGCCTCCTCGTGCACAAGTGCAGCTGCCGTCCTCGCCTCCTTGTCTACGGCTGTAGCCGCCTTCTCAACGTCTTGCGACTTCTCTATATCTACTTCTGAGACGCCTTTTAACGCGTCCACGGTTAATCCGTCGCACTCAGCGTCGCCCCCGGGTCGTTCTGCGGCCATCTCGTCGCCTCCTGTTACCACGTCACAAGACTGCGGCTGGTCTGCTTCCGTCTCCTGCCCTGCAGCGTCCGCTGTAGGTCCCGACGTTCCGTCGACTGTTTTTTCAGCTGTTTCGTCGGCTGCAGCGTTTGCTGTAGCAGGTCCCCGTTTCTCGTCGGCTGTAGCGTCGGCTGTAGCGTTTGCTGTAGCAGGTCCCGCTTTCTCGCACGCTGTAGCGTCGGCTGTAGCGTTTGCTCTAGCAGGTCCCGCTTTCTCGCACGCTGTAGCGTCGGCTGTAGCGTTTGCTCTAGCAGGTCCCGCTTTCTCGCACGCTGTAGCGTCGGCTGTAGCGTTTGCTCTAGCAGGTCCCGCTTTCTCGCACGCTGTAGCGTCGGCTGTAGCGCTCTCATGGGATGCATGCTGCTGCATCTCATGACCGCTTGGATGCCGATCCAAAGACGCGTCGTGACGTACGCCTTCCGCGTCTTGTTCCTTTCTAGCCTCCGCAGCGTCATTAGTAGCGCTTCCCTGAACCGCAATTGCTGGGTTTTGAGATGTCTCAGAATTAGTGGCACCCTCTTGACCAACAATTCCTGGATCCGCGTCAGATACTGCGTTAGACACAACAATTGCTTGATCGCCGTTGTCTGCCATTTAGGAAACTATAAGAAAGGAAACGGAACCTACGCGAGACACAAGAATGGAATTAGTCTCGAGATCAGGTGATTCTAGGCCGCGCCGCGAACCAGAACCATTAGTGTTTCACTCAACTTCGGATGCTCGAGCATGCCAACGTTGAGATGTGTGGGAAGGTTGCAAAAATTCTAGTGATTGCTGTGTGAAGAAAGTAATTTATGCTGGAGGCGTCTGGACCTGTTGACCGTGAACGTGGTTGATTGGAGAATGGTCTGCCCAACTCGGTCGCGATACTCCCAGTAGGCTGAGAAGAAAAATGATTCCTCGATTCTGGTTCACGGAATGGCGAAATATATTCGCATGAGGAAACCAACAGTGAAATAGGAAGGGCAGCATCCTTGCACCAATGAGCGCGTCTCAAAATCTGCCCGTAAGCGCGATTTTTGTTGTATATATTTCGGGCAGGAGATAGCAAATGACACGACCGTTTGTGGTGGAGGCGGAGGGTGATTGATTTATCGGGCAGGAACTGAAGGAAATTCTCAGCCGTCCATTCAAATCGCAATCCAACAGCTCAGCGCAATTTCAGCATTACTCCCTCGGTATGATCAAACCGGTACCTTTCTGGGTACACGGACTAAGGGCGCGTCCCCTCCCTTGATCGATCGCGCGATCGCTGTGAAAAACCACTCGGGCACACCGATCGCAGGATTGGGGTGGGATTGGTTGGAGGTGACAACGGCGGATCGATCTCGATCCCTGGGTGACAGGATCGAGAATACAAGGGGCAAAAAACCCTCGATCCTTCTAAAGCCGAGATCGGTGTGGCCACGAGGGCACATCGATCGTCACAGCGGAGGTGACAGGATCGTTGGGCACAAGTTACTGGAGATTCGCAAGCCTTCTCGAAATTTGATTACCCTGTCAGCTGTGATTCTGTAGCTGTCCCTCGATCGATCGAGGGCAGGATCGATCGAGGGAGGGGATGCGCCCTAAGAACAGGTGCCGCGTCCTAAGAACCAAGATCGAAGTTGTCAATGACGAAAAACCAAGCTCAAGCTTCTGGAATTCTGAGGAGTTTAGGAAGAATCTAGGTTTCGGCTTTAGGGTTTCTCTCTCCCCAGTGTTCCTTGCTGGATACCTGACCTGAACCAGCAGCAGGTTATTGATAGCTCGCTTAGCCCAGAGCGAATGATTCTGTGCTTGTCGTTGTTATCTTAGCCCCACTCTGCTTCAATTCCCTCTAGTTTCGTTTCAAAGAGTCATTAGTTACTAGTCTGCCGCGCAGCGAAGTCTGGGCTAAGATAGAGCGTACATGGCGAAGCCAGGAAACCCGCGGTCGCACAGACCGCACGGGAAGGGAGGCAAATTCGGGCAGCAGAAAAAGGGTCAGAAAAACAACAAGCACCAGTACCAGAAACCCCCGTCCAAGCTCCAGCTAGAAATCGCGGAAATCCGGCAGCTCGAAGCGCGGATCGCCGCCGGCGCGCCCGCGCCGGGCTCGAATCCCCTAGCTGCGGATCTCTCCGCTCCCGCCGCTTCCGCCTCTCCCGCTGCGCCAGCGAATAGCAAAGAGAGGAAAAGGAATGCGTCAAAGGAGGGGGTGCTCGCAGCAGCAGGAGGCGGATCGACGGGCGGGAAAGGGGAATTTGAGCCGTACGTCGGCGCGAAACTGTTCGAGGAGCTGCCTATATCGAAGCGAACGATGAAAGGACTCAAGGTAAAGTTTGGGTTTATATAATCAGGGTTTAGATTGAGGGTTTATTGTGAAGGGCTCGTCTTATCTATGATGGTTAACTTTTAACATTTGCAGGGCTTGCGGTTATTGATGATATAAAGGGTTAATACTTGGAGGGTTATGGGGCACGGACGGGACAGGTTAAAACTGTCGGATTCGACTCTAGTGGTGATCCGTAAACAACAATCTAACATTTTAGAATGAAGATTCGTGAACACAAAACGGATTGAACCTCTATACAGAGAGGACAGCGTTGGGTCTAAGATTGTGTCCGTCTGTTCTTCCATGAATCCCCTCTTATTCTGCCACGTGGCGCAACAGGATTCGGAGTACGTGCACATGACGGCCATTCAGCGAGCTGCAATCCCCCATGCGCTGTGCGGGAGAGACGTGCTGGGAGCAGCCAAGACAGGATCGGGCAAAACCCTCGCGTTCATTATTCCTGTGAGCTTTTTGTTCCTTTGTGTGTTCAATATACACTCAGTAGACGGGTTTTAAAGGCAATATCCCCTTGAAACATGTGCAAGACGCGTTCAACGTCTCATGCCGCTTCTCACACCACTTCTTTCCTGCAAACCTGTATCAACTTAGACCCTGTACCCTGTCCTCCTCCTCTGATGGGTTACCATCATCATGCTTCTTCGCCAATGATGTGTTTCGTCAATGTTCCCCCCTCGTTTCAGATGCTGGAGAGGCTGAATTGGCAGCGCTGGTCGCACATGGATGGCGTGGGAGTGGGCGAACGAAACGATGCAATGTGGTCCCTGAGTGCCCTTGTCAGGCAAACCTACTCCCCGCCCTCTCCCTTCTCTCCGCTCCAATCTTTTGTTTCAGCTGCTGGAGAAGCTGCATCGGCAGCGCTGGTCGCACATGGATGGCGTGGGCAAGCGATGCAGTGTGGTGTCTTACTACACTGACCAAGAACACTCCCCTTCTCCCCACCCTTTTGTCTCTCGTTTCAGTTGCTGGAGAGGCTGCATCGGCAGCGCTGGTCGCACATGGACGGAGTGGGCGGCATAATCATATCGCCCACGCGGGAGCTTGCCACCCAGATCTTTGGCGAGCTCAAGAAGGCCGGGCGGCACCACCCGTTCTCGGGCGGCCTGCTCATCGGCGGGCGGGCAGGGAGCGTGGAGAAGGAGAGGGAGCGCGTGCAGGTGGGAGGGTGAATCCTTGCATGTGTTTCACATTTGTTTTGAGTCGTCTCAAAGCTGATTGGCGGGCGGGCAGGGAGCGTGCAGAAGGAGAGGGAGCGCGTGCAGGTGGGTTTGTGATCATCTGTTTTTTTTTTTGCCCACCTTCGTTTTTTCGCATTGCACATAACATTACTTTGTGCATATTCCGGTCATCTGCTACTCTCTGCTTGAGTGCTTAAGCGGATGTCGATGAGTCAAGATGTTACTCTCTCCTCCACCCTCTTTCCCTGCCAGTCTTCCTTCCTCCAACGCCCCTTCATCCCCTTGTGACTTTTGTGTCGACTCAAAAGTCGCGTTATTTCCAATCCTTCTTCCCCCTCTTGTCCTCTCCACCACCAGTCCCTCAACATCCTCGTCTGCACGCCCGGTCGTCTGCTGCAGCATATGGACGAGACACCCAATTTCGACGCATCCAACCTCCAGGTATGCTGCTATTCACAAACATATGTGTGCACATCTCCTGTGTTCACCTGAAGGTGCACGCCCGGTCGCCTGCTGCAGCATATGGACGAGACACCCAACTTTGACGCGTCCAATCTTCAGGTACGCGATTCGGTGTGTTTCTACTTAATTCCAGCCACTCGTACAACAAACCTAATCAACAAGATGGAGACGGTAAGGTGAAACCTGTTGTCGGTGAGCAGTAATTTTACTCGTTTTTTCTTCTTCCAAAGACTTTGTTCTTCCACCTCGGCGTCATCTTCTTTTCTGCCTTCAACGCCTCTCCCCTCCTGGTGCTGGTTTTGGACGAGACCACATTCTAAACATGGGTTTGAAACACTCATTCACGAACTCTCTTATCCCTCCCACTGCACTGCCCTGCCCCCTTCTCCCTCCACACCTTGTCCCCACTCCTTCCAGATGCTAGTGTTGGATGAGGCCGATCGGATTCTAGACCTGGGATTCGCCGCGGCTCTCAACGCCATTATCGCCAACCTGCCTCCACCCCCGCACCGCCAAACCCTCCTCTTCTCCGCCACGCAAACCAAGTCCGTGCGGGACCTCGCCCGCCTCTCCCTCTCCTCGCCCGAGTACCTCTCTGTGCACGCCGAAGCAAAGGAGGCGACTCCCCTAAGGCTCCAACAGACGGTGATGGTCGTGGAAGCTTCCCAGAAGCTGGACGTGCTGTGGAGTTTTCTGAGGAACCACCTGCAGAAGAAGACAGTTGTGTTTCTCAGCAGCTGCAAGCAGGTGGGTGCGGATGGGTGAGAGCAGCCGCATTCAGGTGAGAGCAGCCGCAAGCACGTGGGTGTGAATTGTGTGCAAGCATGTGGTTTATGCCACGTGCTATGGAGATTCTTGAGGAACCACTTACAGAAGAAGACGGTCGTTTTCCTCAGCAGCTGCAAGCAGGTGGGTTTCAAGTCGACTTAAAAACTAAGCAGGTGAGAACAGGTGCAAGCAGCCAGGTGAGGGTGTGAATGGCATGCAGCCTCTCTCTCCCTCTCTCTCCCTCTCTCTCCCTCTCTCTCCCTTTCTCTCCCTCTCCTCGCCTGAGTACCTCTCTGTACACGCCGAGGCGAGGGAGGTGAGCCTGCTCGCCTCACCCTCTCCCTCTCTAGCCTCTCCCTCTCCATCTTGCCGGTAGCCTGCTCGCCTCACTCTCTCCCTCTCTAGCCTCTCCCTCTCCATCTTGCCGGGTAGCCTGCTCGCCTCTCCCTCTCTAGCCTCTCCTCGCCTGAGTACCTCTCTGCGCATGCTGGGCCGAGGGAGGCGACTCTGTTGCGACTTCAGCAGACCGTGATGGTCGTGGAAGCTTCCCAGAAGCTGGACGTGCTGTGGAGCTTCCTGAGGAATCTGCAGAAGAAGACGGTCGTTTTTCCCAGCAGCTGCAAGCAGGTGGGGAGAAATGAGGATTTGGAGATGGGTTGAGATGGAAGTGAGCAGGTGATCGGGATAGGGATTGAGCCACTGTTCCCCACCCCCATCCCCCTTCCCACTTCTCCCCTCCCCATTCCCCTCCCCCCTCCCCTTCCCTCTTCCCCTTTCCGCCTTTCCCCCTCCCTCTTCCCTTCCGCATTTCCCCCTTCCTCTTCCCCACTTCTCTATTCCAGGTGAAATTCGTGTTTGAAGCCTTCAGAAGGCTGAGGCCCGGCATTGCCCTGAAGCTGCTGCACGGGCGCATGAAGCAGATGACCCGCCTCGCCTCCTTCTACGACTTTTGCGAAGCCGACCACGCAGTGCTGTTTGCCACGGATATCGCTGCGAGAGGACTGGACTTCCCTGCTGTGGATTGGGTCGTGCAGGTGAGAGTGCCCTGAGTTGACTTTAGTTGACTTCTGTGACTCGGATCATGCAGTTTTGTTTGCCACAGATATTGCTGCGAGAGGGCTTGACTTCCCTGCTGTTGACTGGGTCGTGCAGGTGAGTGCGTGGTTTGTTGACCTGGGTTGACTTGGTTGACTTAGTGTCCTTTGACTCTGTTCACTCTTGTACATTTCGTTGACTCCCGTTGACTTGGTTGACTTACTCTCCTTGGACTCTTGTGCATTTTGACTCCCGTTGACTTTGTTGACATACCGCGTTCTTTTGCATCCCAATCTCACCCCCCCCCCCTCCCCACCTTCCAGGCGGACTGCCCTGATGACGTGGCAACATACATTCACCGTGTCGGCCGTACGGCCAGGTTCAATGCATCTGGACGCTCGCTGCTGCTGCTCACCCCTTCTGAGAAAGCCATGCTGCCGCTGCTAGAGGCCGCCAAGATCCCGTTTTCGCTAACCAAGGTGCGTGCTGCCTCTGCTACAGGTGCGGTTTCTTCTGCTCGCTCACCGCCTCTCTAACATCGAAGTGCCTTGGCTGCTTGCTCACTCTAACATCTGAGAAAGCCATGCTGCCGCTTTTGGAGGCAGACAAAATTCAACCTCTAGCAGCATGAACCTTGAATGAGCCGAAATTCCCTTTCCTCTAACCAGAGTAAGTTTTAGCCGATTTAATGCTCACTCAACCCCCTTTTTGGCTCAGTACGATTCTGCACACTCCATCAAATGGGTCTCTCGACTCAACCTCGCGAAACGCACGGCCAGGTTCAATGCATCTGGACGTTCCTTAAGATTGTTCCTTGCCCCCCCGCCCCTTCAATCCCAACAGGCCTAGATCCAGCCAAGATGCAGCCCATAGCCCACTCGCTGGCAGCGCTGCTCTCAAAGGACTCTGAGATTACAAGCCTTGTCCTTACCATCCCACCCCACCGCACCGCACTCCACTGCACCCCACCGCACCCCACCCCACCGCACCAAACCCAACAGGCGAACCCAGCCAAGATGCAGCCCATAGCTCAAGCGCTGGCAGCTTTGCTCTCAAAGGACTCTGAGATCAAGTACCTGGCACAGCGCTCCCTCGTCACCTACCTGCGCTCCGTGCACCTGCAGGTATGCATGTGATGCATGTATGGAGTATACATCCATGCACATGGGCATATATGTATCTATGTGTATGTATGTGTGTATGGTATGGAGTATGCATGTGTGTACCGCTGCTTTCAAAGGACTCTGAGATCAAGTACCTGGCACAGCGCTCCCTCGTCACATACCTGCGATCCGTGCACCTGCAGGTATGACCCTATAATGTATGTCTACATAAACATATGGATATATTTCTTTTAAATGTGTTCACACACATATACAAATACCTCATTCAGCACGCCTTTGTTACCTACCTATAATCCGTGCACCTGCAGGTATGACATCTGGAGTATGTATATGAATGTATGAGTGCGTATGTATACACTAAAAATATATTATACATATATATACGTTACATATAAACACGACATTATTGTATGTGTGAAACCTAATCTCCTCCTTGCCCTTCCCTTCACCCACCCACCCCCACTCCCTCCTTCCTCCCAATGCTCTTCCCTCGGGTAGAGCAACAAAGAAGTTTTTGACGTGACCAAGCTGCCCGTGGAAGAAATCGCGGCCTCCATGGGGCTGCCCAACCCGCCAAAACTTCGCTTCCTGAAAAAAACGAAGGGGGTGGGAGAGAAATCAGGGGATGCACACGGGAAAGCGGAAGGGGCAAAGGGGAAGGGGGAGGGCGGGAAGGGGAGCGTAGGGGAGTGGAAGGGGCAGAAGATTCGATTTGGGGATGATGAGAGTGATGCGAGCGAGGAGGGGAGTGATGGTGAGGGTGATGGTGAGAGTGATGATGAGATTGAGGGAGGGAGTGAGAGAGGGAGTGAGGGAGAGGAGGATACAGATGAAGAGAGAGAGAGGGAGGAAGGGGAGGAAGGGGAGGAAGGGGAAGAGGAAGAGAGAAGGGAGGGAAGGAAAGAAGTAAAGAAGAAGAAAACAAAGCTGGAGCGGCTATTTGGGAGAACCAACAAAGGGGTATTGTCGGCCTCTTATGATAGGCTGAGAGCAACTGAGGATGAGGAGAAAGAACCAGGAGAAGGAGGGGAGGAGGGGGAAGGAGAGGAGGATGAGTTACTGCGGGTGAAGAGAGTGAATCATCTGCTAGATGGGGAGGAGAGGGAGGAGGGGGAGGGAGGGGAGGAGGGACTGAGTGGGGCGGCCACCGCAGCAGAGAAGAAGCGGGTGCTTAAGTAAGTGTGCAGTTCTGGAATTGCAGCATATGTTGCTGCCATTCGTTTGTAGCTAGTGTGGGTGGAGTCATCATGAGTTTTGAGCTTCATCGGCTCTGAGTCGCTTCCCTTTTTGCAAGTTTCAATTTCGAGGGGTGTTCAAAACACCCATTTTATAAACACACCACGTTATTGCTCCACTCCTCTCGACCCTTCCCCACCCCTTCTTCCTCCCTCCCTCATACCTTTTTTTTTTGCTGCTCTCAGCTCGTTGACTCTTTCCAGGAAGCAGCGCAAGAAGCTTCTCTCAGGCCCGGGCCGACATGGCGGCACGCGGTTGGTCTTTGATGAGGAGGGCAACCCGCTGCCGCCCCTTGCCGCCCTTGCCTTGGAAAAGGACAAAAACGGAGGGGTGGCGGCAGAGGGGGAGGATGCTGAGCTGGCAGCTGCCGCCCGGGCAGCTGAGGAAAGATTCCGGCAGCTGCGGGAGGAGATGCAGCAGAAGGATTTGGAGGACCGGGCAGCTGAAAAAGAGCGTCTGCGAATGAAAAAGCTCAAGGAGAAGTTGAAGGTGAAGAAACGGGCAGGAGAGGGGAGGGAGGAGGGGGAGGAGGGAGGGCGGGTGGTAATGCTAGGCAAGGGAGGTGATGATGATGAGAGTGATGAGGAAGGGGAGGAAGAGGAGGAGGAGGGGGATGAGGAGGAGGAGGATGTGAGGAGGGGGAGAGGCAAGAGGAAGGGTGGGAGGAGTGGAAATGATTATAGCGAGAGTGAGAGTGAGGACGAAAGGGGGTCTGAAAAGGGCGGTGTACAATGGAATGAAAGTGATAGTATGGAGGGTAGCAGAAGTATGGATGAAGGGGCAAGGGAGGGGGGCTATGGGTCATACTCTAGTGGAGACGAGGGGGAGGAAGTGGAGGAGAGAGAAAGAGGGGGGCAGAGAGGGGGTGGGAGAGGGGGAGGGACAGGGGGAGGGGAGGAGGAGGAGGTGCCTGAAGCAGTACCTTTGGAATGGGGCGCACAGGACCTTGCACGGGCGAGGAAACAGCAGAAGGGGCGGCATGAGTTGGTGCAAGGGAGGGGAGCAGCAGGAGCAGTAATGGGGGGGAGGAGAGCAGGAAAGAGAGTGATATTCGAGGGGCAAACATCGGAGGAGCAAGCAATCTCGAGCAGGTCTGGCAAGAAGGCTAGGGTGGGCGGGTTGGAGGGTCAGGGGAAGGCGGCAGGGAAGGTTGCTGGTGGTGAGGGCGCGGGGTTGGGACTGGCAGAGCAGGAAACTTTGGTCCTCCGGCTGCTGGCTGCCAAGCGCCAATGAGCTTTGAAGTGCCTTACAAGCTGGGCTGGTCTTAAGATGCCTCTGAATCTGGACTGGCAGAGCAGGAAGCTTTGGTCATTCGGCTGCTGGCTGCCAAGCGCCAATGAGCGCCGTGCTGGTATGGGGACTTGCGGGGATGCCTGCAGTGGCAGCCAGTCACGGGAGTATGATGGTACGGGGTGTTGGGCTGAGTGCCCCTTAGGATCTTTGGTAGGGTTAAACTCTGAGTAAAGTGATGTAGTAGCGGAAGCGTTTAAATGAAGTCCTTGAACCACCTTGCGCTGGTATGTGAGGGCAAAGTAAGTTATCTAAAGCAAGCAAGTACAAAGGTTTATATAAGAGTACAAATAATACGAAGAGATATAATTAAACTGCTTTACTGTTGCGGTTCGATACAGTGCGACTCAGGCAACTGCTCAATGTCGAGTCAGTTGTGTGTCCTTGCTGTCGCGCTGCATTTGTCAAGTCAAAGGTCGCTGACCTTTGACTTTCGCGTAACCTCCAGCGGTTACTTCAACCTCCGAGGGTTGACTCGCTGGTGCCTCGATATGCTCTGCTTCGCTTGTGCCTTGGTGTTTCGACACGACAGAGGCGCTTAACTTATTTTTTTCCCAACACTCCCCTTCGCTTCTGGAGTGTCGCTGCTGGTGACGTGGCTTTGTCCAGTCAGCAGCATGCAGTACTCGAACTTCTGTTTTCTGAGTTTCTTGGTCAAGTAGTCGGCTGCCATCTCGGACGTGGGACAGTAGGATAGTTCAAGTCTCCCCTTCTCAATCTCGTCTTTCACGAAGAAATATCGCAGAGCGATATGCTTCGTTCTGTTCGCGAATCCACTTTTGTTGGCGATGCGAATTGCAGATTGGTTGTTGCAAAACAGAGTGAAGTTGGGTAACTCGGCTAACTTCGCTTCTTCCAGCAGCTCGCGAAGATAGAGTCCTTCCTTGGTGGCTGAGCAGAGTGCAATATATTCTGCTTCAGCTGACGAGAGAGCAATTAATTACTGCTTACTCGATTGCCAGGAGATCGGTCCGATAGGTTCGAGGCGGTAGATGTAGCCAGTGCGGGAGCGCCTATTGTCTGAGTCGCCAGCGTGATCAGCGTCGACGTAGCCGATTAATTTAGTCGGTGTGGTTGTGTTCTTATAGTAGGTTAGGCCGATCGTTGAGGTACTGACGTAGTGGTGGAGAGCGCGGTCGAGCTCCGCCAGGTGTTCTGCTTCAGGCTTCTTGAGGTAGGTGGCGAGCTGGCTTGCAGAGTAGGATAGATCTGGGCGGCAGGTGACGGCTGCGAAGAGAAGGCAGCCCAGCTTTCTCTGGTAGTCGCGTATCCCGGCAGATTTGAGTAGAGAGGATCCTTCCTTGTGGTTTCCTGTCGCGTAGCGGTAGGGCGTAGAGATGGTGGTAGGTGTGAGCGCGAAGCGTTTGGCGATGGTGTCGGCGTACTTAGCGGCGTTGAGGTAGATCGCGCCTTCTTCTTCCCGAATGTTTAAGCCGAGGTACTGTGTGACGGTAGAGGAGACCGTGAGTGTGAGGTCCCTCTATAGCTCCCCTTCGAACCAAGTGGTGATGTCGTCAGTGGAGCCGATGTAGAGTAGGTCGTCTACGTAGACGATCAGCAGAATGTAGTCGATGTCTTTAGTGAGTCGGTACATTCCTTGGTCGTGAGGTAGTTGGCGGAATCCGATGCGAATGAGGCGAGCGTGTAGGTACTGTTGCCATGGCCGCGGAGCTTGCTTGATCCCGTAAAGTGATTTCAGCAGTTGACAGACTTGGTTAGGTTCCCCGTTGGTACCGTATGGGAGCTGGACGAAGATTTCCGCGTCGACAGGTGCGTAGAGGAACGCGTTGGCGACATCGATTTGCCGTAGCTTCCTTTTCTTCATGGCGGCGATCGCGAGGAGGATTCGAAGTGAGGTATGTCGGCTAACCGGGGCGAATGTCTCGGTAAAGTCCCGTACGTGCTCCTGATCGAATCCACGCACAACCCAGCGTGCTTTGAACTTCTCAATTGTGCCGTCTGCTTTTGTTTTAACGCGGAAGACCCATTTCCCGGTGAGAATGGTCTTGTTCCTTGCCATGCTGATGAGGACAACTTTCCAGGTGTTCCGCTCCTCCAGCGACTTTAACTCTCTGTCCATGGCTTCACGCCATTTTTCCCTGTGTTCCCCCCCCAGAGCCTGCTGAACCGTCGCAGGCTCCTTAGGGAGAGTGTTGGCGTGGACTGCGGTGACGAGTCCAAGAATCTGCAGTCCAGTCTGTGAGTAGCGGGGAAAAGTTGCATCCTCGGGATAAGCTGCTTCATCTCCCGCTTCTGGATCAAGTATGAAATTCGGTCCTACTCGTTCTGCTTCGTTGGTGTTGACTGTCGCAGGTGTTACGTAACCGTTGTCGGCGAAGTAGTAGATGTCAAGATAGTAGGTAATAGAGAGTAGAAACGTGGGGCCTAGGCTTAGTAGCCTAGGCCCTAACTTAGTATCGAGCGGGTTTTCCCCTAGGGTGAGAGTCGAGTGAGTTGAGAGGAAAATTGTGAAAAGGTGGGTTTCACTATAGGTTCAGGGGTACATATAGCATAGAAACACAATAAGGTGCACCACCAACAAAAGTTTACATAACTACACTAACTACAACTACAAGCAATTATAAAACATGACAAAATATTTCGACAGTAGAAGGTTTCGGCGTTGAGACTTTCGCGAGGGTTATCTTCGTCCATGGGGACGTCAACGGAGCAGAACGGAAGGGGTCCAGCTTCTTCTGATGCGTTGGCCACATTCTGCTCGTCCCAGGTAGCTTCGTCTGCTGCCGAGGCGAAGGCTCGATCACCACGAAAACCACCTGTGGGATCTTGGTCCTCTTGCAGGTTGGCAAGGTATGTCTGGAGCGTGAGTCGTTCGTAGAAAATGACGTCGCGTGCTGCTACTGTTTCCTTGGAGTGGACGTTAAAGATTTTCCACGCGTTGTAGTTCTTTTCGATGCCGAGGTGTAGTCCCCACTGTGCGCGTTGAGAAAATCGGCCCGCTCGTGCTGCTGGGGGTTGTCGAGAGTAAAAGGAATTAAGTTGAAAGGTGGGGCCTAGGCTTAGGAGCCTAGGCCCGAACTTAGGTGTCGAGTAGGTTTCCCTAGGCGAGGTATCGAGTGAGTTGGAAGAGAGAAATTGGAGAATGAGTTTCACTATAGGTTTCAAGAAACATATAGCATAGGAAACAAAGTTGGTGCACCACCTACAAAGTACAATAACTACACTACAACTACAAGCAGTTATAAAATATGACAAACATATTTCGACACGCCCCCATAATGCTTGTAGGTAGAAATGTAGTTACGCCCCCTGAGGGGGTACACCATGCAAAATAATCACAAGCAACAGCAGGTAATGCAGGCGGGCTAACATTAAAGAGTTACCCCCTCCATCTCCTCACCCTCCTCCTTCCCCTCCCCCACACTGCTGCAGGAGCAGCAGAGAAGGGGGGAAGAGAGGAGAGGTGGAGGGATGGCTGCATATTGCCTCACACCCGCCACCCCGGTACCACTCCCCCTGCTCCCCCACATCCTCACACCCTCCCCCCCCAGCGGCAGCTGCAGCGGTGGGACTGAAAGAAGGAGGAGGGGAAGGGAGAGAGTTGACCCCACACTCCAACACCCTCCACCCCCATACCCTCCTCCCCACGGCTGCAGGGAGACAAAGGAGGAGGGGGGTGGGCAGGAAGAAATCCGCAGAGCGGCGAAAAGGTGTCGGTGCAGATGGGTCAGGGGCGGCTTCAGGGAGAGCAGGGGCGGAAAGGCCCGTCGCGTGCCAGTGCCACGGGGCGCACGACGGGTAGGATAATAGAAAGGGCCCGATCGTGTGCCTCGGGGCGCACGACGAGCAGGGCACCATCGTGTGCCACGGGGCGCACGATGGGCAGTTGAAGGGCACCGTCGCGTGCCACGGGGCGCGCGACGGGCAGGGAAGGAGTCACACGCCCGTGGGCGGGACAAGGTAAAAACAAAATCGTCACGCGCCCTAGGCGCGCGACCGGAAAATCTTAGCAGCGGAAGTGTAGAGCGGGCCAACAGGCCAGAACGAAATTAGCTCCGATAACATGTCGAGAGTAAAAGGAATTAAGTTGAAAGGTGGGGCCTAGGCTTAGGAGCCTAGGCCCGAACTTAGGTGTCGAGTAGGTTTCCCTAGGCGAGGTATCGAGTGAGTTGGAAGAGAGAAATTGGAGAATGAGTTTCACTAGAGGTTTCAAGAAACATATAGCATAGGAAACAAAGTTGGTGCACCACCTACAAAGTACAATAACTACACTACAACTACAGGCAGTTATAAAATATGACAAACATATTTCAACAGGGGTCGGTACTGTACCATGCATCCGAAAACTCGTAACATTTTTGTGCTGCCCTGTTTTCCTGTCCATAGCAGATGCGGTGATGCGTTGTTCGGAAGCGATGATGACGACAGCAAGTTGTGCAGCATGACGGCGTGGTCCATTGCTGCAGGCCACTGGTGGTTGGGTAGCCGCATGCCACGTAACAGTTTGCGCATGCTGTTCTGCAGAGTCCTGTTCATTCTTTCTACTACACCTTGCTGCTGATGGGCGTAGGGAAGAGAGAGGAGCTGCTTGATTCCCCTTTCCGCTAGGTACTGCTTGAATCGCTCAAAGGTGTATTCTCCTCCTCCGTCAGACTGGAAGCTTTTTAGCTTTACGCCCGACTCTCTTTCTGCTACTGGTAGCCAAGCAGCGAATGCTTCGAGGACCATGTCGCGGCTGGGTAGATTTAGATGCCAGACGTAACGGGTGGCGGCGTCGATGAAGGTGATTGTGTAGTTGTATATTACTTGTCCTGGTTCCCGATTGTATAGGATGTCGCTATACACCTTTTCGAGTGGTGCGTACGCGGGTGCGCTCGGGTTGTGATGAGGAGTGAACGGCCGATGTGGTAAGTCGGCTTCGAGGCAGGTAAGACATGTTCCTCGTGCCCGTTGAAGTTCTCTGCCGTCGAGTAGTAGTAACGAGTCCTTGTCAAGGACTTCTGCTCTTATTGTGTTGTTTAACACAGTGTTGCTTGGGTGTCCCATGCGTGCGTGCCAGATTTCTTCGGAGGCGCGGTGTCCGGGTGAGTGTCGATACGCGTCAGAGTTGGAGTAGAAGCTGGCGGTGAAGTTTGCGCTTCTATGGACTTCCCGTTGAGCCGGATTCAGCTGCTGTGCGGGTGTTGGTGGTGCTTCGTCAACGAGGACTGGTGTTGTTGTTGCTGCTATTGTTGTTGTTCCTGCTACTGCCCATGATGTCTCTGCTGCTGCTAATGTTGTCTCTGCTGCTGCCGATGTTGTCTCTGCTGCTGCCGATATTGTCTCTGCTGCTGCCGATGTTGTCTCTGCTGCTGCCGAATGTTGTATTGTTGCTAACGCACGTGTTCGTTCTGCTTCAGGAATGGTATATGAATACCAAAAGCCTTCCCGACTGAAGTCGGGGTCGAGATCTGGCGGGTGCGTCCAAGATATGAAGGTGACGATCCCGTCACTGTCTGCGGTGCCCAGGTCTGGGACGAAATCGAGAACGAAGACATTGTTCTTCAGGACCGCCTTTCCAATGTAGAGGCCGCCCTTCCTGTGGTACAGCTTGAACTCCTGGGTGGTACTGTCGGCTTCCAGATGTATGCCTTTCGCCATCAACTGACTGACGCTCAGTAAGTTGTAGCCAAGTCCTTCTGCTATTAGGACTTAGGACATTTGCAGTATGACATTCGTCTCTCGTGACTGAAGTTGCACTACTCCTTGTCGTCGTGTGCGCAGGTTCTGATTATTGGCGACAGTGATGACGACTTCTCGTTGAAGTTGGTGCTCGCGTTGAACGAAACGTCCTGAAGAGCACATATGTTGTCCGCAGCAACTGTCCAAGAACCATGTATCCTTCCCGGACGGCTCGCTTTGAGCGATGGTGGCGTACGTCGGGTTTGGTTGAAGTGACTCGCGGCGAGGCGTGCTGTTGTCGAGTTGTTCTTCTGGTGAGTAATATGGTGGTGACTCGGTTACACAGGAGTCACTCAGCCTTGCCATGCAACTGACGATGTTTCTTGTTCCTTTTGCAGGTTGTCCCGTTGATGTTGTTGAGACTTGTACTGAAGTTGTCGGATTTGCTTGCGTTGAGGCGACTTGACTGCTTGAAGGGCGAAGTTGGCGTTGGGGCGACGTTGACTGTTGTCGATTCGGGCAGTGCGTACGAGGATGCCCTGAAGTCTTGCAGAGGTGGCAGAACGGAGGTACGATTTTCGGTCGATTGTTGTTGTTGTTGTGGCGCCGTTGAGTGTGAAACGCGAATTCGGGCACTGATACCTTTCTCTTGTGTCGTTCTTCTTGCAGGTCCATGTCTTGCTGTTTGGCGTGGATTTCGGTGCAAAGTGTTGCTTCAGAGATTTTCCCGTGGGCTCGTAGTATGGCGCGAGTGGAGCGCCAGTGAGGACCAAGACCGCCGATGACAACCGTGACGAAGGCGTCCTCTTAAATGGATCCTCCGCGTCGAAGAAGCTTGTCGTGCAGCTCGCGGCAGCGACTGATATACGCCATTCCCTTCTCGCCTGGTTTCATTTCGATTGTTGTCAGTTGCGCCATTAACCGACTTTGGTTTACGCTGTCTATTGCTTGATACAAGCTCTTCAAGTGATTGTACGCGAGCTCCGCGGAGCTGCCGTAGCCTCGGTAAGACCGTATGTTTTGTTGTTGAGTTGGAGTGATGTTCCTCAGTAGTATCGTGTACGCCATCATCGATTGATAGGTGTACTGCTGTTTCTCATACTGTATGCCGTTTGTTGGGTATGGCAGGGACCCGTCGAAGAAGCCAAGGATTTGCGCTCCTTCCATCATCAGCTCGAATTCGAACGACCAGGTAAAGAAATCATTCCCGTCGAAGGGTTTTGTCGTTTGCAGTTTTAGAACGTGCGCGAACTGCGACGGAACTTGTAGTGCGTCCAACGTTCTCTCTTGTCCCGGTGCAGGTTGTGGTTGTGGCATGATGCTAACGGAGCCGCGCTGGGGCTCGTACGGAGCGAAGGTAGATTGCTGTTGTTGATTCCCGCGTGCGTAGGATGAGCCATCGAGACTCGTGGGCGTCACGTTGTTGTTGTTGTTGCTGTTGTTTGATTGCGCAGGTGCTCCTTGCTGATCCTGCTCGTAGAAGGACATGAAGGAGAAGAACTTCTCCATCATGCTTGGATCGAAGCCCGCGCCTTGGTTTGCGAGTGTTTCAGTAGACCCAGCTGCCGGTCTCGTTGTTGTGCCTTCCTCTGTCTATAGGCCAGAGGCAGGAGGTGGAGTAGGAGGAGTACCAGGAGAGCCGTTGGAGGAGCTCCTCTCCTTTCTGGTAGACATGTCTTTTGGTGCATTAGGTGTTAAGGAGAAGTAATTTTAACCCTAACCAGCTCTCATACCATGTTGGGCTGAGTGCCCCTTAGGATCTTTGGTAGGGTTAAACTCTGAGTAAAGTGATGTAGTAGCGGAAGCATTTAAATGAAGTCCTTGAACCACCTTACACTGGTATGTGAGGGCAAAGTAAGTTATCTAAAACAAGCAAGTACAAAGGTTTATATAAGAGTACAAATAATACGAAGAGATATAATTAAACTGCTTTACTGTTGCGGTTCGATACAGTGCGACTCAGGCAACTGCTCAATGTCGAGTCAGTTGTGTGTCCTTGTTGTCGCGCTGCATTTGTCAAGTCAAAGGTCGCTGACCTTTGACTTTCGCGTAACCTCCAGCGGTTACTTCAACCTCCGAGGGTTGACTCGCTGGTACCTCGATATGCTCTGCTTCGCTTGTGCCTTGGTGTTTCGACACGACAGAGGCGCTTAAGATTGTTTGTTCCCAACACGGGGCATGCTTCTGCTAGCAGACCTGAAGGCTAGGGTAGGCGGGTAGGAGGGTCAAGGGAAGGCGGGAGGGAAGGTTGCTGGCTGCAACTGGCATAGCAAGAAGCTTTGGTCCTTAGGCTGCTGGCTGGAATGCACCAAAAGGAGAGAACCAGTGAGGAGGGGCTGTGAGGAGTCTCGCAAGTTGGGCTTCGCAGATGGAGACGTTTGGCAAGGCAGTCTGCCCGCAGTCCTGTTTGGTACACCTTTTGAGAATTCAGGTCTCAATACTATACCTTTCCTGAATATTCGGATTGTTTCATATAATTGTTTCTACTATCTATGATTTATCTGTTGAGGATTATGTTTGTAGGGTACAGTAAACTGGTAAAGTTGGAGGCTGGAGGCAGGCTATTGAAAGAAAATGGCTGGCTACATGAAATTCGCAAACAAACCAGCACACATGGGCTACCGAAGTTTGTCCAAAGCCATGTGCCACAGGCAAACACCAGAAGTACACTGGACAGCCATTTTTATGCATTATTTGATGCAGAGTGTAACCACCAGCACTACACTCTACACATCGCCTGCGCCATTCGCGGGAGCGGCTGCAGAGGCCTTGAACTGGTTGTCCTCGGACTTGGGCTTGAAGAGGTAATCGCGAATGACAAGAACAATGTAGAACAGACCAAATGCGCTGATGGCAATCCCGATAATGATCAGGTAGGCCTGAAAGGCGGTGAGAGAAATACATGAAATTGGATGAGTTGACATGCAACAATGCTTATGAAATGAGGGGTTGATATAGTGGAGTGTTATGCGTATCCTATTATGAGCGGCGTGAATCAGTGGAGGGAACGTGAATTATCGTGGTTGACCGTGCAGCAAGAGATAACTGAGTGGTATGAGATGGTGGTATGAAGGGTCTAACCTTCTGGTTTCCAGAGAACATTGTAGTGTAACGGTCGAGGCCGAGGAACACGTTCACCCAACCCAGCACCACCGCGACAATCCCCACGAACCAGTGACCAAAACGCCAGAACACACGGTAACCGGAGTTTCGCGAAGGCTTCACGAATCCCCCAACGGGCAGAACCAACACAATGATGAACATCGCCAGCCCCAGCTGCCCGTGAAGGTAATCCAATCCGCGAGTGCCACTGGTAACCAGAGCAATCACTGCACCAGTGAAAACAAAAACAACGGCTACGATCTGCAGGATCATATGCGCCTTGAACCACAGAGCCCTTCGCGCTTCGTCCTGCTCGGAAAGGCTCGCGGTCAGCCCAGCAGCCAAACCGTTCGCGTCACCGCTTGTGCTGTACAATAACGGATCCGAAATCTGGTCAGCTGCGAGGAACATACGCGCTATAATGATGGCAGACGGCATCAGGATAGCGAACGCGAACGTCATGAAGAAACCGTGTGCGATAAAAGACGCGGAATTTCCGTAGGTTGTGGTGGGAACTGGGGTGGTGGTAATTGTAGTTGTGCCATTGTTGTATCCAACCCTCGCAGAACCCCTGTAACCACAACCACCCATGACACAAGAGCAAACAATAATAACATTTTGATTGGAAGCTTGTTGCATAAAGCCGGTTGGATAGAAGATTGCCAGGAATGAGTAACGAGAGACAAACAGGTGGTAGGTGGAGGCATAGCACACCTGTTGGCACCGTGATACTTCAACTCCTTCGAATTTCCGTCGGAGTAAGCAAAGATGACGTTAGCAACGGCATCAAGAAATAGGGGAACGTTGCCTGAAGCCAATTCCCTCTCGAATCTGCATACCGGGAGTAAATCGATGCACAGAAAGGCAGAACAGGTTGAGGCGAAATTCCAGCACGACTACCTGGACCGTAAATCACCACAGGGCCTAGAAATAGGTAATCAAGTAATTACGATGTGGTATTTCAAGCTTCTTATTACTCACGCCGACAACTGTTTTTTACAGACAGCTGAACTTACTCGACAATGGTCTTGCCATCGCGAGTAGTCACGGCAGTCAACGACAGTCCGAGACGCGGGTTCGGCACAATATCCGCCGCGTTCTTCGCGCGAATGTAGTAAGCGCCAATGGGGGCCGGGTTGCCGTTCGCAGTGTCAGTGATGGTGCCAGGTGGCAGATTGCCAATCGCTGCATCGCTGCCGGCCATCTTGCCGTCCTTGGACCAGCCGAGGGCGACCCAGCCGGTGGTCGCGACTTCGGCGGCGTAAGAGATGGAGTTAATTCCAACGGTCCAGTGCAGGATATAACTGATGTGATTGTCAGGGAAGTAAGGGAAAAAGGGGCATACAGTGGGGCACTTCGAAATATGAAGCGCATGTGGTGGTGGCGCAGGTGGTGACTACAGTGTAACGGACGGATAAGTGTGCCCCTGGTAAGTGTCGAATGTACGCGGGATTGAAGGGGCGTGGATTAACAGAATTAATTTCACGGCGCGCAGACTTCTATAGAGGCATTCGATACCTTTCCTGTCCTCTCGCCTCTTCAAATCAATCTCGTTACAGGAGCCCCTGCTAATTGTTCCAGCGATAACTTACTCTTTGCCCTTGAGTTCGGCGGAGCAGCTGTAGCCAGTCAGCGAAGACTTCGTGCATTGCGACGAACCCAGCTGCGACCGAGGTTCGCCTTCACCAAACTCGTCGTTCACGACGGGTTCGCCGATCGCCCACGCGTCATCCATCTCGTGCATCGGCTCCCCATCGCCGAACGAGTCGCCGGTGACGCCTTCGTCAAATCCCCACATTTCGTCAGTTTGGTGAACTGGTTCACCTTCGCCAAAGGAGTTACCAGAGCTTTCGCCAAAGTCCCAAGACTCGTCGGTTTCGTGCACAGGCTCGCCTTCGCCAAATGCGTCGGACGACGACTCGCCGAACTCCCAGGACTCGTCGGTTTCGTGAACGGGTTCACCTTCGCCGAACTCGTCCGCTGCTTGAAGTTTCGTCACTTCCCAGTCCCATGATTCGTCAATCTCGTGAATAGGCTCGCCTTCGCCAAACTCGTCAGTTGGATTCGAAATTACGGGCTCCCAGTCCCATGACTGATCAAATGGACTTTCTTGCCTGTTCCTGCCTGGAGCCTTCTGGGCGTGAGCGAGGGCAAGTAGCCCGAGGAAGGCGAAAAATGCGATAGAACGGGGCGCCATACTAGCGACCTCCGAGGTACAAGACGAAACCTCACCCTCTCTGTGTGCTACTTTAACGACCAATTTCGCACGACTGATCGAGCTCTGGCGTCAACTTATGCTGTGAAAATCACCCCACAATGCCAGTCGTCTCAACTTTATACGTGTACCAGCTCACAGGAGTGGCTCGCATGTTCGTTGTTCCCAGTCTCCCTGGTTGAGCCTGCTCAAATTGCTCTGTGGAGGTGCTTTGTGGTGGCGATTTTGAGGGGAGATGCCAGGCGAGGCGAGGATAGTGTTGTGTCGAGGGGCTGGAAATTGGGACACAATGCAGATGCGCACAATTTCTTTTCCAAATCCATGATGACGAGGCGCGCACATTGCCACCACTCATTCGAAATGCGTCTCGGCTTGGCCTCCACAAATCATCCCACATGGCACGTGGCAAAGGGTCACCCTGCTTTGGTACAGTATCTCGGCCAGGTTTCCCATCAGGGGGCAGTTCCGAAGCGGGGCAGTCCCACTTCACAGCCATTCTCAGCAATCCAGCCTACTTTTTTACCATCGTCTGGTCAAAATTGCACGACGGGCAGTTATAGGGGCAGTAAGAACTTGGACTTCCGATAAATCTTCTGTCTGAACCAGACCTACAATGCGGGGAGGAAAAGAGGGCGCTTCTTAGGGCCAGATTCAACGAGCCGCGATAGCACAGGCTGGGAATGAGGGAGGGTGCAATATGCACGAACTTCTATGCAGGATCCTCGATATAGATGTCGTGAATGTAGCAGGGAAATCTTGGGCGTCACTTTGGTTCCAATCAATCTACCACATTTATATTGCTTATATAGTTGGATCCAGGCCCTTAGATATCAGTGTAAAACACGCTGATTACGCTGATTTTGTAGCTCTGATTTTCGTTTTCCCTAAAGAATCAGTATATGCTTCTATTTTTCACTGTAATTTCAGTATTTGTGATTTTGCCACACTGACCATTTTACGTGTTTCTGAACAAGTCACATTGACAAATTAGTATACTTCAGTATGTCAAATGTCAAATGTTGTAGCCAATAGTGAGGTTTGTCTTAGGGGGTACAAAATTTAGGGTTTGTCATATGTACCCCAACTCACGTCAATGACATCACCACTTCTTTTCTTGACATGGTATCACCTAGGTTCGGATCCTGTGGGATCCCGCTCCTACCGACCTCGTTCGTTTCGCCCGAGCCAGTCTCACCCTGTCGTACTAGTTGCGCACGTCTTGCCCGAGCCTAGCACCGGCCCGCTCTAGTCGCGTTCGTTCGTTACCACTAGTTCCGCCGATCCACTGCTCTCGCAGCGTAGCGACCTTCTCCCCCCCCCCCCTCCCCCCTGCTGCCCGTCGCGTTTCCCCCCCCCTACTGCCCGTCGAGTCGCGTTTTTCCCCCTGTTGCCTGTCGGGTCGCGTTTTTCCCCGCGCTGCCCGTCGAGTCGTGTTTCCCCCCCCCCCGCTGCCCGTCGAATCGCGCCTTCCCCGGCCCCCGTCGCGTCGCGCTCTCCCCGCCCGTCGTCCCGTCGTGCCCTCCCCCGCTACTCGTCGCGACGCGCCCCCCCCCCCCCCCCCCCCCCCCCCCTCTGCCCTAAACGCCCGTCGCGTCGCGCCTGCCCGCCGTCGCATCCCTACCCCCGCCCTACGCGCCCGCCGCGTCGTCCCTACGCCCGCGCGCCCGCGCCTCCCCGCGCCCTACGCCCTGCGCCCGTCGCTCGTCGCCTCCCTACGCCCCGCGCCCGCGCCTCCCCGCGCCCTGCACCCTGCGCCCGTTACCTCCCCGCGCCCTGCGCCCGCGCCTCCCTGCGCCCTGCGCCTGAGTGCTCGCTGCGCCCGTTTCTACGCACGCCCGCCCTTTGCCCGATGTGCTGTCTTGTCTCTTTCGGCACGCGTGCCTGCTTGCTCGCGCTGCCACGTCTGCTCGTTTTCTCCGCCGCTACGCCTGCTTGTTAGGCCTACTGCAAGCCCTCCCTCCGCTCTACTAAGCGTCCTGTCGCTCGTACTTCCACTATGGCGACTCCTAGAGTTCTTCGTTTTGACGCTGACGGTCGACCCCTCGAGTTCTCGGTCTCGCTCCTGCGCGCGCGTCGCCTTTTAGAGAGTCAGGTCCAGGCGGGTGAGTCCCTCTGGGCGCACGCTACTGGTGACCTTCCTGCGCCCGACGACCCTACGCCTTTAGGCTCTGCTGTCAGAACATATAGCTTGTGCTTATTGTGTAGGCTATAGTGGGGTAGCCCATAAGGGGTACAACCCAATTAGGGTTAGTACTTGTACTCAGTTCATTCATAGTTCATTCATTCTCGTTGATTTTCACATGGTTTCAGAGCACTTATGCTCCTGGCCTGTGGGCTGCTTCCGCTGCTACTCGATCTGTCGCACGCCCCGTGACGTGCGACCTATGGCGCGCGGCGATTTTCTCTCTAGCGCGCACCCCGAGGCGCGCGGCCCCGTTCCTTCTAGGCACGGCCCCGCTGCCCCGTCGCGGCCCCATCTCGTCGCGCCGCCCTAGCGGCCCCGTCACCCTATCGGCCCCGCCGCCATTCACTGCGGCCCCGCCGCCCTTCACTGCGGCCCCGCCACCCTTAGCTGCGGCCCCGCCGCCCCTCGCTGCGGCCCCGCCGCCCTTCGCTGCGGCCCCGCCACCCTTCGCTGTGGCCCCGCCGCCCTTCGCTGCGGCTCCGCCGCCCTTCGCTGCGGCCCCGCCACCCTTCGCTGCGGCCCCGCCGCCCTTTGCTGCGGCCCCGCCACCCTTAGCTGCGGCCCCGCCGCCCTTCGCTGCGGCCCCGCCGCCCTTCGCTGCGGCCCCGCCGCCCTTCGCTGCGGCCCCGCCGCCCTTCGCTGCGGCCCCGCCACCCTTCGCTGCGGCCCCGCCGCTCTTCGCTGCGGCCCCGCCACCCTTAGTTGCGGCCCCGCCGCCCTTTGCTGCGGCCCCGCCGCCCTTCGCTGCGGCCCAGCCGCCCTTCGCTGCGGCCCCTTTGCCTCTGCTGGCCCCGTTGCCTACCCCTGCGGCCCCGGCGCTGCCCTTCCTGGCCCCGGCGCCATCTCTGCTGGCCCCGTCGCCGCTCCACCCGGCCCCGCCGCCGTCCCCTAGCGGCCCCGCCGTCACCATCGAGCCGCCGGCGCCGCCGACCTGTTACCGAGCCGCCCGAGCCGCCGAGCCGCAGTTGCCGCCGAGCCGCCGAGTCCCCCGAGCCGCAGAGCCGCAGTTGTTGCCGAGCCGCCGTGCTGCCGAGCCGCCGTGCTGCCGAGCCGCCGTGCCGTTGAGCCACCCGAGCCGCCCGCACCGCCGAGTCGCCGAGTCGCCGAGTCACCGAGCCTGCTCTTCCCACCACTGGTGAGCCCCTGCCCTGCTAGCGCGCTGCCCGTCGCCTGCTTGCCTGCCTGCCTGCCTTTCGGCCTGCCTGGCTGCCTGCCTTACTGCTGCTGCTGCTGCTCCTGCTTCTACTGGCGGAGCCAGATGCAGCCCCAGCGACGTCCGCGTGAGTCCCTCATGCCCCAGCAGGTGCGTGAGTGGTACGCTGGTTGGGGTTGTAGGGGTGGCGGCGCTAGTACTGCTACTACTGCTTGCGGCGGCCAGATGCAGCTCCAGCGACGCCCACGAGCGTCTCTCACGCCCCAGCAGCTTCGTGAGTGGTACCCTCAGAGTGAAGGGTCTCTCAGTTCTGTTCGCTGCTCTTACGTGATTCGCACTGGTGCTAGGACTGGTCAGCCTTGTGGGACGCCTAGTCACACACAGTCCCGCTGCTTTGCCCGTCTGAGCGACGCCTGGCGTACCGAGTTTGGCGACGAGGCTAAGCTCCCCGACTGGGTGGAGTTGCTTAGGCAGAGGGTAGATATATTTGCTCTTGACTATGATGCTATTCTCACTGCCATGTATGCATTGCCTACTAGTGCTGACCGTGCCGGTCACCTGTGCGTACCGCCTGGCCCGGGTATAGAGCCTGCTGCTCTAGCTGCTGGTGAGGCTGCTGCTCTCGGTGCTAGTGTGTTTCCTGCTCCAGGTACAGGTGCGGCTACTGCTCTAGGTGCCAGTGCGGCGGCTGCTCTAGGTGCCAGTGCGTCTGCGTCCTCAGGTGCTGGTGAGTCTGCGCTCTCAGGTACCGCGCCGGCTTCGGCCTCCCTCACCTTCACACTTGACTCAGGGGCCTCTCGCTCCTTCTTTCGAGACCGCACCACTCTCACACGGCTTGGTCTGCAGGTTGCAGTCTCCTTGGAAGACCCCTCTGGGGGTCCTGTCCTTTCTCACTTCTCTACTGTCCTCCCGTGTCCGGCTGCCCCCTCTGGCACCTTGTCTGGTCTTTACCTCCCCTTGTTCTCTACGAACTTGGTGAGTGGTGCTGACCTGCAAGATGCGGGTGTTCACCAGTTTACTCCTGCGAGTCAGCGGGTGACCCACTGCTCGGACGCTCGCACAGGCCGGCACCTGGCCACGTTTACGCGTCGGCCGGGGTCGAGCCTGTACACACTGACCACTGAGTCTCCTCCTGTCACCGCGTCTGGTCAGGTAGCTGCGTCGGGTCAGGTGTTTGCTGCAGCGTCCAGGTCTGGTCCTGAGTCTGCCCCCTGCTCGTGTCGCCACCTGTCTCACGAGACTCTC